GATTACAAATCTTATCTTGTCGATATCTACAACTTTTGTCTCAACCATTTCTCATAATTCTCACTTTTAATTCTAACTTCTAAATTAATCGAGATAGAAGGTCCGGCTATAGGACCTTTTCGTCTCGTCTTGTCAAGATGTAGAACTGTTGTCTGAAACTTTTTTCAATTATTTCAACTTTAATTCTAACTTGTAAACTACTTGAAATAGAGGGTCCAACCATAGGACCTTATTGTTTACTTTTGTCGATCTCTACAACTTTTGTCTGAAGCTTTTTTCAATATTTTCAACTTTAATTCTAACTTATAAACTAGTTGAGATAGCAAGGATCTGTAGCAAATTTTTACATTTCTTTAAATCCTAGGGACTTATTCAGAAAACCCTAGATGGCATTTGTAGCGAATCTCGACAATTCGATAAATCCTAAAGACTTATTTAAAAAAACCCTAGATGGGATCTGACCTAAATCTTCACAATTACCTACATCCTAAGGACTTATTCAAAAAACCCTAGAAAAGATCTGCAGCAAATTTCCACATTTTTTTAGATCCTAGGGACTTATCCAGAAAACTCTAGATGTGATCTGTAGCGAATCTCGAGATTTCCATAAATCCTAAAGACTTATTTAAAAAAAACCCTTGATGGGATCTGACCTAAGCTGCGTTCGGAAACATCACTAGTGTATGTTTTATCTTTATTACTCATTATATATAAAACAAAGATAGAATGACGCTCGTGTGTACACGAGTGCTGTTTCCGAACGTGACGCTAAATCTTTACAATTACCTACATCCTAGGGACTTATCCAGAAAACCCTAAAAGAGGTCTGCAGTAAATCTCCACATTTCCTTAGATCCTAGGGACTTATCCAGAAAACCCTACAAGANATCTGCAGCAAATCTCCACATTTCCTTAGTTCCTAGGGACTTATCCAAAAAACCCTAGATGAGATTTATTGCCCATTTGACATTTTAAGCAATTCCAAGATTTTTTTCTAGATCTTTAGATCCTAGGCGTTTTTCCAGAAAACCCTAGATTACAAATCTTATCTTGTCGATATCTACAACTTTTGTCTTAACCATTTCTCAAAATTCTCACCTATAATTTTAACTTCTAAATTAATCCAGATAGAGGGTCCGGCTATAGGTCCTTTTCGTTTCGTCTTGTCAAGATGTACAACTGTTGTCTGAACCTTTTTTCAATATTTTCACCTTTAATTCTAACTTCTAAACTACTTGAGATAGAGGGTCCGACCATAGAACCTTTTTGTTTTCTTTCGTCGAACTCTCCCACTTTTGTCTGAAGCTTTTTTTTGCTAGCCACCCCGTTTTGAAGAAAAACAAGTTACAAAAATTACAAAAACCTTCATAACTTCTACAATATTGTAGATAGAGCTTCGGACCATAGCACCTCTTTGATAGATCTCGTCAAGATCTACAACTTTTGTCTGAAGCTTTTTCTTAGCCCCTTAATTTTAAAATACCAAAAACAAAAAAAATTTTTAAGTGGGCGTTATAATTATGAGTGTAGGAGTCGACTTGAGTTAAAGTAAAGATTACACTGGTGTAATTTCAATCTTCTATTGGTAATAGTTTTCAAGATAAGAAACGTAACTTTTTTTTGTTGTGTTTGCGCGAATCGGAAGTAAAGATGTAATATCATCGTGCCCCACTGTATCCGAATCTGAAATTACTTTAATATTATTTTCTGTAGAAAACATACTGACCCTAACTTTGACTAGCTCTATTTAATCGGATAGATACTAACTTTTTTAATCGGTTAGGCACTAACTTTTGGTTAGAATCTATTCCGGTTAGGGCCTATTCCTCTGTCTAGCTTTATCTAATTGATTAGGTACTAACTTTCTTAATCGGTTANNCACTAACTTGTTTAAGATCTAACCCGGACTGGGCCTATTCCTCTGACTAGCTATATATACTTGATTAGGTACTAACTTTCCTAATCGGTTAGCCACTAACTTTTGTTTAGGATCTAACCCGGTTAGGGCCTATGCGTGCGAAGTTTTGGGAATGACTTTTTTGGGGTGCTTTTTGTAGTGTGTGAGAGTATTATCATATAGAGAAAGAGTATTATCAAAACTTTAATTTGTACAATATTAAACCCGTATTGTAAAATTCTTCTGATAACGCACAATTCGACAACACGTCTGTTACACTTGAGAGATCGACGAGATCTGAGGCTACGCGCTGCGCTGCGAATAGAGAAGAAATGTAACAAATGTTAAAATTTTAATACGAAAGAATGTGAAAAATAAACATGTTATGTTCAACGACTGAGGTGTTTTTCCAACCGGCGAGTGTTTTTGCGCACGNATCCCTCACTGTATTAGTTTCAACACACCTGTATGTTAGTAACTTGCTAACTTGCTAAGATTTCGATTTTTTTCGAAATAAAACACACATGCTCGTGTACCACCGGTGGCTCAGCCTGCCTCATGGGTCGGACAACAATGTACCACCGGTTGTACAACCCGTCGCGAACGTGATAATCATTATGCTTATACATTCGCACGTTTCGTACACGCACTCAGTCGTAATCGATCGTTCGTACGCCAAACATCCTGATGTCACGCACACACTGCATTTACTCAACTTTCTTACTTTTATCTCACACATTCGCATACACTCGAGCATAAAACATACACACAGCGTAAAGCTTTAAATGAGCGTCATTNGTACTGCGGACAAACACGTACGCGCGCGCACACTGTCAGTCGCTAACTCGCGCATTCAAAAAAAAAAACTCACTCTAGGGTGACGCACACACACAGGAATAAGGATCCAAACCATAGAGCTTATACTAAAGCCTATGTCACACTACCGATTGGGATTGAGATTGGATTGAAATTTGACCAATCAGAAGAAAGAAAACCAATCCTAAGTTTAGTGATCTTCGCTCTGATTGGCCAAATTGCAATCCAATGTCAATCCAAATTCATAGTGTGACATAGGCTTAATGGAGAGGCCGTGCCTATATGCTAACCATAGAGAGNGCCGCGCGAGGAGCAACAGAGAGATAGATATATTCTGTCTCAACTGTGGCTCCCCCACTCCGTGCTCTCTGTTATTCTCTTCTATAAGAAGTGCCCGCAATTGAAACAGAAAAATATATCTCTCTTTAGCTGCTTTCCTTTTAGGAGACACAGTCGACACAAAAGTCATTCTGTCTTCGTTCGGTATTCAGTGAGAAACAAAGATAGAATGACTCTTGTATCGACTTGTGTCGACTGTGTCTCCTAAAAAGAAAGCAGCCTTTGTCGATTCTCCTTGCGCTCCCATGGCCTCTCCGTGAGTATAAGCTTTATGATCCAAACGCACCGCATTCACAGGTTGCACACATACACACACATCAGAGTTCATTCAATTGTCATTCGCACCAGAGAGAAACCTGAGAGCGGCCATCCTATTGTAATTTTTTTTACGACGGTTTCAGCCGCTGGTTTTAGCCGTATTTCGACAAAAGTGGAACTCAAAGGCCGTTCTACATTAAACGCAAGTAGCAGATCTCGTGGAATTGACCAATTGCAGAGTCAAATCAGCCAATCGACCAACGTGATTGATCAGTTTCACGAGACCTGCTACTTGAGTTTCATGGAGAACGGCCTTTGAGTTTCCACTTTTGTGGAAATACGGCCTAAAACCAGCGGTTGAAACCGTCGTAAGAAACTACAATGGCATGGCCGCTCTCAGGTTTCTCTCTGCTAGTAGCTAACTTCAGACGTGTCGCCAAGCTGCAAACGTGTAAGCTCAGCTTCCATGGTGGAAGTAATAAGGTGTGCTCGTGCGCAAGCATTTTTGTTATTGGCCAATAAAAGAGCGTGACTAAATTAAGCCATCTTAAGTCATTCAAATGCATATAATTTAAAAGGAAATCTATAATACATTTAATAAATCAATTTTAAGTATAATTTATTTATTACAATATCTTGTGTTAACTATAAATAAATTATACTAATAAATATGCATACCGATTTGTAGAGTTAACCTATTTCTCACGCTCTTTGTTTATATCAGCCGTGGCTAGTCGCGTATCTTCGCAATGAGAGGCACGAGGCCTGAGAAAGGGAGACGCACCAAGTCCAAATATGGGCATAGATAGTCGAGCGTCATTATGCGCAGGCGCGTCTACTAAGCGAGTGCGAGCGAGACAAAGCGTTGGAAAGAACGCGAGAAAGAAAAATGCCCAAACGTGCTTGAATGTTCACCGCATGCGCACAAAGCAGCTGGAGAGAGAGGCTACTATATTGTCTGCACCGTAACATGTGGACTTCAGGTCGGCACCGTACTAGCAATATAGAAGTATTATATATATGTGTAAACTAGGCCATTAAATACCGGTACATCTACGGCACGTTCCATTTTATGCATATACGCGCGTGATTTTATAGTACTCGTGACGTGCAATATAGATAAATGCGCACATTTGCATGAAACGGAACGCACTCTTAGGGAGGCTAGCTACGCAGTTTAGTATACTATTGGTGGTTGATTCTATATCCATGCAATGTAGTGAAAATTACAAAAGTAAGTAAATTTACTAGTTGTTGACCAATAAGATTATAGATATTTTAGTAAATTTGATCACTTTTATCATTTTCACTATACTGCGTGATACACAGAATCAACCCCTAGATTAAACCTATGGTTTAATGATTATGTTTAGAAAACTCAATGGTTGAGAGATCATCAATTATAATAGGACTATTCTTCAAAACCTGGCTTGGTTCCAAAAATATGATCCAATCGTAAGTGATTGGGTGCGTTCAGACAACTCAACAGTTGCACAACGGTTGAGAGATAATCACTTCTGATTGGATCATACTTTTGGAACCGCATCAGCTTTTGAAGAATAGTCCTATCATAAGTGATGATCTCTCAACCGTTGAGTTGTCTGAACGCACCCATTATCTCTCAACCGTTGTGCAATTGTTGAGTTGTCTGAACGCATCCAATGTGACGACTGTGGCGACAACTGGCTTTATTCTATATAGTGACAAGTTAAGTGATAGTTTTGGTCCGAAATTTGAGTTGTTTGTACTCGAACTTGAGGAATATATGTGTTGTAATATTAGCGGTACTCTTGAAAAAGAATACGAATTTGTGTGTAATTTCTCGAAAGAGTCTGGATTACTTGACCAGGAGCCGCAAAAATTGATATGATGTTACGTTAAAAGAATAGCACACAAGCGCGAATATGTCGCGGTTGTTGGAAAGAATCGGTGACACTTTAAAGCTAGCTGATAGCTCGAAAATAACTGACAAGAAGGTAACCGCTGTTTCTGTTATTAAATGTGTTCAGCGTTGCAAATCCAAGCTCAATTGTAAATAAAGCTAATGGAGTAATCGTATTGGACAAATGATTTCTTTTTTTTAAACAGTTTCAATTTTTAGAGGTGTGTAACCGAACTTTTGGAATTATACCGGAATGAAGATGCTGTGAAAGAGATATGTCTGAGTTCCGGAAGAGATGACTCGAGACATATCTCCTGGTCGTATATCTTGCTTACAGTTCATAAATTGGTTGTGGATGTAAGAATTATAAAATAAATAATTTCTTCTAACTTGTGTCTATATTTGTTATAGATGGTTACAAAAATGATTTATTCGAGTTATAAGAATAACAACAGAAAGTAACGCAAACTGTAATACAATGTTTGTTGAATTTTTATATTTGTTTCTTTGTTTTTTTTTCTTTTTAAATTAAAGGAAGCAGAAAGGAGACAGCTGCCTAACAAGGAGACAGCTGCCAAGAATAATGAGAGACAATCTCTCAGCAGTCTGGTGATCAGTACTGTTCGTCGTTCTAATGAGAGTTTGAAAGCCAAAGAGATTGTCTCTTTGATATTGCAGATATTAGATTCCAAAATTTATGTACACTATCAGGATACATATTTAAGGATATTGATCAAATATGTGTTGCCTAAGAGTTCGAATCACAGTGATATCACAGTGGATCAGTGGCGGGAGTTGCTAAAAGTGTGCACCAAACTGTACAAAAAAGCACATATTGAGAAACATATTGTTCTGGATGCGTTGCAGATGATTGTGAAATATTCTTTTTTTCACGTAAATTTTCTTTTTCACATTAAGAATTTGCTGTTGTTTCTCGGTACGTCAAATGCATTTGTAATACACATTGCCGATGGGACGTATTACTTTACGCAACAAATTACTTATTTTCTAGAAAATATTTTTTCCGAAGACCTGAAAAGAGGAAGTGACGAACAACTGGCGGAATCCTTTTGCCGACTCGCTAGTAGTGTAAGCAGGCAGATCATGACGGAATCCCATTTTGCGCTCTGTGCATTTTCAGAGAACATTGCAAAGGATATCTTGCTCTTAAACAGTTCTGAAGAAAAATACAAATTGTTGCTCATCTTCTTGGAGATTCATCATTTTGAAAGTTCTGATGAGATACGTTGTAGCACTTTGGCTTCCACTGGCTCGAGCAAATGGAAAGACATTCTGCGCAGTATGTGGTCATTTGTTCAAGAGAACTGCAAGCTAGATATACGATGGTACAGTTTTATTCAATTTGCCAGTGAAGGTATTAATTTGTCACTTTGTTAATACAAAAAAAAATGTAAAACAATGTAACAGAAAAAAACGTGTAAACATATTTTTGTATTTTTCAGTCGTGAAACAAATCCAGGATAACACAATGAATGTTGCTTGCTCCCTTGATGTGAGCTCGTCTCTTGGCAGTTCCTCTCAACCTAAGCGCAGGCGTACAATAGGTAGAATAGAGAATATCGTCGATTTTGTGACGGAAAGTAGTCCCGAAGAAGTGTGGCCTGTGCTGAGAATCTTGACGGAAACGTTACGAAAATATCCGCAGTGCTTGAAGTCGGAAAATCTTGCGCCTCTGTTGCAACGGTTGACGGAAGTCGCTCAACCTCGAGACGAGTCCGTTATGGATCACTTGTTTTGTCTGGCCGCGATACTAATGGAGAACAAAATGTTTAACGAGGAAGATACTCAGGATGCCACTGTTTACTGGAATAAAATTTGGGACTTGTTGTTAAGGTGCGCGTATGGTAGTAAGTCTCGTCATCTTTTAATCATTTTTGTGGGAGAACAAACATATGAAATCAATGAAATTATTATTATCGTAGGTCTCTGGAAGCGAATCAAAATGAGGAATCTGGTCATGTACTGATGCGTTGCTTTGTGAAGCGCAATAAAATGCCGAACGCAAACGGCATTCTCAAGTTATACTTGACGAAGACAATCGGTTGGACGCGAAACAGCGTGCTCACGCTGCGGCAATTGTGTGAATGTGTTTCTCCGCAGGAATACTCAAGCGCACTGACGCTGGATTCGTCATCGCCGGCGTCGACGTCGGCGACTGTATCAACACCTGTCTGTGATAGAACGCGTTTGCTAGATTGGTTGTTAAACATGCCGTCGCACAAACTAGCGTCGCGACTACGCGTCGAAACTATTGAGGATGTTTGCATTTTGACGGTAAATCTCGTACTGAATTCCCGTAACAGACAGAACGTTCGAGCGGAGCGAAATTATAACCGTGAACAAGCGGCCAGAATCTCTTTCGTGCAACGAGACATTCATTCGACAGACCTGCCGCGACTCTGTCGCGCTTCCCTCATGTTTGACGTCGAATTATCCGTCTGTTTAACAGACAAATGTTCTGAGCGAGATTCGGAAATGAAATTTAACAACGGATTTCCCGTGTCTTGTTCAGAGGACGCAATAATTTATTTAAAGAACTGGCTGTGTAACATTTTTCAAGAAGAAGACACCAACAATGATGACAAAAACACAGGTGAAATTTACGTCATCTTGATAAAAATTGCGCTCTTGGCGAGATTGCTGTGCGCTTTGAAACAGCTGAGTATTCTTACATTGGAAGATACCGTCGGTTGTATGCTGATCGCTCAGTTAGAGAAGCGTCTGAAGAACAGCTTCGAGATCCTGGCGAGAATCGACTGGAGCAGGTAAGCGATTCCTCGTTTGAGTTTTATTTTGTACGTTAATTCCCGAGTTAACTAAATTGCGTATCTATTTGCAGATGCAAGTACGCGTACTTGCTCAGCGTCACCGGAGCGTTGAACGTGCTTTATGGTACAACTTACGACGCGGACGTCGCCGAGATAATCGTTTCAGCGTCTACGGAGAAAATGTTAAAAAATATATTCGATTTACTAAACATTGACGACAATCGAAATTACGGATCTTACAACAATGCTTTTCAGGTGAACGGAATAATTTTTTTTTTTTTTTTTTTTTTTCATCAGTGATTATTTATATTGAAACAACGATATGTATTTCAAATTGAAACGCTGTGCTATCTCTTTGTGCTATTTCTCATCTGGTTTTTTCTTTTCCGTAGGAGAGACGTAGACGTTCGAGCGTATACTCCGCCGAGTCGTCCGAGTTTGCAACAACAGGTTTTCCGCGCGAGCGTGCGATTTGCTTGCGGGTAGTCGAAGCTTTAGCTTCGTTCTGCGCGCTGCACATCGGCGTGAACAAGTCTGCGCTGCAGAAAAAAACAATGAGAATTTTGCAAACCGTGCATCGAAACTTCGCGAGTTACGTGGAATCCGAGATACTATTGACGATTCTTGATTCGTTCGTTTCGCGCGATCGGAATGAGATACCGCGCGAATATAAGAACGAGCCGATAGACTTCTTCTTGAGCGTGTGCGAGAAAGATTGCGGAAGTGAATTGTTGCGTGGATTGTTCAATCTGCTGCCTTACTTCTTTGAATACGCGATCAAGTGTGATTACTCGCCGAAAACAATTGTCAAAACGCTCGCGCGACTTTACGAACGCATTCATCGGCGTAACTGCGGCGTTCTTGTTCATGTGGATTATATGAAGTGTGCCTGCGGTGTCGTGCGGATCGATCCGAGTTTCTCTTGGAATAGCGTTGGCGATTCCGACGATGACGTAACAACGTTGCTCAACAGCGTTCTTGACTACATCGGCAACGAACTTTTCGTTCTGCGTTCGCAAGCGGTGCGATGCCTGCAATTGCTTCTGTCATTCGAGAACGTCGTTCACAAATGGAAGGAATGGATCTTCGTTAAAGTGGAGAAGATCGTATTCAAACTGGTTGATGAGACGGCAAATCGGCAATCGACTTCAGATTTGTCTGACAAGTATGAACACTAAAATAGAGTGTAAATATTTTTCAATGTGGAGAATGTAAAGTTTTCGGAATAAAAACGAAAATGTTGTAAACAAAGCGGTAAAATTACATGCAGAGAAATTAAAATTTTCGTTAATTAACAGTAAGAACCTGCGAGATAGTCAACGACGGGATGAAAAAGAAACCACGACTGCTACCGCGCTTCTTACATTGGCTTCCGTAACATGCGCCAGCCATGTTCTTCAGGGTAGCGCCTTGTGCGCCATACTACGGCTGACGGTGAAGCATGTGGAGAATTTGCAAGTAGTGCGCAAGGTCCTTTCGGTAGCGGCACGTTATACAACAACAAACGTCTCGCTTATCGAGGATAACTTGAGTTATCTGTTAACATACTGGTTGAAAGACGTGCGGTATCCGCTGCAAAAGTTTCCTTGGATACTCACAGGTAAGCTCGCTTTAACGAGCGAGTTATCGCTTGCGATTGTGACAAAGTATCTATTTTTGTCAACAGGATGCGAAACACCGGACAAGTTTTTCAGAAAATACGTCAATTGCATAGTTCCGATTCTTCTGCGTACTTCGGATCTTGCTGAGACCACGGTCTTCTGTATCGATCGCGCCGGTCTGCCTTTCGAACAAGTCTTCGAGGATGTTTTTCCGTCGTGCTTCGTATGGCTGGTGGCCGATGCCACCGTCGACGCCACCCAGTGGTCCGATGGTAACGTCAACGTACTGCGAAAGTTGATGCAAAATACAGGCGAGTTTGCGAAGATGGTAAATTTCAGCGAGCTATTTAATCTCCGCTTCCAAGACGTGCTGGTAGAATTGGTGCAGCGATTGCACGACGAGGACGATTTCAAGCGCGTTTTGTCGATTAAAAACGTGTGCTTTCCGGCAACGGATCCGCCGCACTTCTCGAGGGTCAAAGTGGATCGTTGTTTTATTTGGCTGGAAGAGAACTTTCTGGAGAAGTCAATGACGCGCGTGCTAGTTAAACGGCAACCGGCGATTCTACAGAAGACGCTGTTGCGACTCGCAAGCGCCGTGCACACGTCGCGTTCCTGGCACGATCGACTCAAACGACTGCATCAGTACGCATATTTCTACACGCGCGTCTCGTGCGATCTGGCGGAGTCTATCTTCGACGACATGGCTGCATTTCTGGTGCGAGACGTGTGCTACAGTCTTTTGTATTTAGCGCGGAGCGAGAACAACGCATTTGCAGAGGTGTGTTGTAAGTTTTTATATCTCTTTCTTCAAAGAGCGCTGCCCGCGAGAGCCGGAGAGGTTCGAGATATCCTCAGATTTATCGTGGCAAATCTGATCGGCTTGACGCAAGCGTCGAGCGGCGATGTCCAAGTCGCGGCGGCGTGTCTTCTCAAATTTCTCATAGTGGAACAGAAAGATGTGCTTCGCGAAGCTATCGCCAAGCTAGGCTCGTTCCCGAATCACGAAGTCTTTCGAGACGCGAGAGAAGCTTACAATGCTGTGAAATCAAAACCGAACGGCGTATGCCTCGAGGATGAACTGGAGCATTTCCTGGACGCAATGAGCGAGGAAAATGCCGAATGTACGTTGGAGGATCTTGCGAGTTTAACGCGGCAGTTGTCGACGAGAAAGAGAGACCTGAGAGAATTACGCCGAAAAAGTCCCAAGGACTGTGCCAACAACATCTTGTACCGACTGATATTCAAGTAAAAAAAATCTTCTTTCAAACGTTGTCTTCGTGTTTTATTACATTTGTTGCGATACGCTGTACGAAATAACATTTTCAAAAATTTATTTTTTTTGTTTTAGACTTGTCAAACTAACGGAATCGTCCAATCCACGTGTTTCGACGGAAGCCACCAAGTGTCTGGGTGAATTAGGCCCGACAGATTCTAACGTGGCTTTACGGCCGTCCGGAAGTCTTGTCCGAGAATCGAATCACGCGATAGAAGCTCTAACGTACCGATCGGTCGCGATGTTAATGAGCTTTGTCGCGGAGAACTCTGTGCAACTTCGCAAGGTTTTTAATTTTCTCTTTTCTTTTGCATGTGAATCCTTGAGATAAATTAAGAGATACCGAACCTGAATATATATATATATGTTTTGTCTATGTTATTAAAGGTAAGTGCCGACGCACTGTACGCTGTGTTATCGACTTCCTGCGGCCAGAAACTATTTGATCGCGAGTACTTGAAGAACTTATCGAACGTTCTTGAGGAATGTTCGCCTCTGAAGATCGATTACATTCGACCGTTTGCATGCAGCGGTTCCGTGGCGAAGCAAACTCTTTTTTCGGTGGATTTCGCGCAATTTCGTGTCGTCATAAATCCAGTAAACACTTTCTGGATCGTTAAGGATGGCGAAACTTACGCCGATTGGATTGTGAATGTCACTTGCAGCATTGCCGAGTGCTTTCAGGATTCGTATTTGAAGAGTTTCTTGCCAGTTTGTCGACTGAGTATCGAATTCTGCGAGTTGATCTTGCCAAGAATTTTCTATCTCGTAATTTACCAGAGCAAAAACTTCAACGCCATGTGTGATTGTGTGAACCGTTTTTTTAGGTAGTGTCAGTTTTATATTATTTGAGTGTGTTATGTACAAAGATATTTTTATAAAGTTCGATAACAATTGTTAATCTCTTATTTTGTTATCAGGCATTGTTTTGCGATTAGCCAGGAAGAGGAGGCGGCGCAAAATGACAGCTACGATTTGAAAATTGTTCGCCGCATGTTAGACGTAGTGAATCACGTGCGAGCGCAGTTGGAAGATGGGACGATGTTGAAACTTGACTACGTGTATTTAGCCAAAGCGGCGCACAAATGTTCCGCGTACTACTCAGCTTTGTTATTTGCGCAGTTGGCTTGTGAATCGATTTCGACGGACTATCCGGACTTTAGCAGAGATTCTAGAATCGACTTTATCTACGAACACGAACCGGAAATCGGCCGAGTGCTGCAGCGTATTATGTTGGACACGTATCTGAACATCAACGATCCGGACGCTACCTGCGACGCCGGTTCGTCGCATCTGCTCGATTACGAGTCTCGAATGCAGTATTACGCTCGCACTAATCGTTGGGACAAAGTCATGCTTGCGAAAGACATCGAGTTGTCATCTCACAGCAACGGTTATCCGCTATCGACGAGTGGAAATGCCAGGATGGAAATGTCAAACGCGCTTCGCAACTCGGGTTTACAGTTTCTTCAATGGCAGTTCCAGGGCAACTGTTTAGGAGAAAAATTCAGGTGATATTACGTGAATTGCACATAATCTCGTAACTTTCAATGATCTGAGATATATTTTGTTTCTATATGATGTAAACGAAACTTAACTTTTTAGTTATGAGTGTGCTTGGAGACTCGGCAACTGGAATCTACCCGATGACCACGCTGTTTCTTCCCATCGTAATGATCGCAAACCGCAACAGTCGCGACTGGAATTGCTGGAAGACGCGTTTCACGCGCATCATTATCAAGCGCTCAAATATTTTCATGAAAACGACCGGCACGGTATGGAGCAAGCGATCGAGCGTGCGCGTAAGATTGTGATCAGTGAACTGCGATTAATCAGTCTGGAGAGCAACCGAACTGTAAATGAGAAATTGTCTCAGCTGCGATTGTTACTTGAAATTGAACAATTGAACTGGGTAGCCGATTCACCGGATGAAAAGTGTCCAGTGATATTACGACGCTGGCAGGAGCACGAAATTGGTTTGACTGGTCAGTACAATTGTGTGGAACCGATTTTGTGGCAGCGCATTGTTATGTTCCGTGCTCGAGAATCACTGCGAGCAAACATTCACGTGCGCGACGCATTTTTCGCTACCTGTTTGGATCTGGCGGCGCTCGCGGAAAGTCAAAGTGACTTTCCCGTGGCTACTCGAGCACTGGACAGCCTGAGAACGTATCCAAATTTATCCGCGGAACTACGGAACCAATTTCTGTATCAAGAATCGTTGTTAGCGTGGATGAATTGTGACCAGATAATAGCGCGTCGTCAGCTGCGCAATCTGATTGAAAAGAACAAGCCGATACCGAGCTTGCGAGCGAAAGCGTTACGAGTCTATGGTGATTGGATGGCGGAGACCAAATCAGAGAATCCGCAGGTAGTGATACAGAAATATTATCTGGAATCCATTAAAATCAGCGAGACTACCAAACAAACGGCCGATGTCGTTAGAAATCTATACAGTACACAGGTGAGAAAGAATGAGTAACAATGTATTTTATTGAAAATGAATAATCTCTTGAAAATTATTATTTTCATCGCTTTTATAGGCTTCGTTGGCGCGTTTTGCCGACGCGCAGTACGAGCAAATTAGTGGATATATGAAGTCACCGATATACGAGTCGCTGAAAGAGTATGCTCGCACTAACGTCCAAATGGATCAGGCGCAAATGATGAAAAATCAGGATCTCAAGCGCGCTGTGATAATTAGTCATAAGCAGTCGACCAACGATGCAGCCGAGTTGAAATATATCGAACAGGAGAGGCGCAGCTATCTCGCACAAGCGCTCAAGTATTATCTAAAAACATTGCGGAACAGCGAAGAGCACGACATGCTTGTGTTTCGGTTGATAGCGCTCTGGTTGGACAATATGTTTGACGACGAGGTGAACGAGAGTTTGCTAGACGAACTGGACTACGTGCCGAGCTTCAAGTTCGTCCCGTTGTTGCCGCAACTGGCTGCTCACGTGAGCAGCGACGCTGCTGCGGCAACCGACGAGCAGCAGAGCTTTGCTGCGCGAATCTTTCGAATTCTCGAACGCTGCGCTTTGGAACATCCTTATCACACACTGCCGGTGTTGTTGGCGCTGAAAAATCTGCACAGCGACTACGAATACGATGAGGAATCTCGCGTCGCGAAAAAAGAAGAACGTCGCGTGCTAGGCGCCAAGAAGTTATTCAAACAGTTAAACAAGTCGTCAGTGAGCACGATTGTTCACGAGATGGAGATTCTGTCGCGGGCGCTTCTCAGTTTGGCCTACTGGCATCCTAAGACTAAGTGTACTCCTGGTAAAAGTTATCAAATACCACGAGATCAACCAATAACTAAGGTATTTTCGTGTTGTTAGTTGAATATATTTGTTTCTTTAATATATAATAATAACAATTTAATATTAATTCTTTTCAGATGAAGAATCTAAACAATGTTCTTCTACCGACGCTCAGTTTGCCAGTACGGTCGTCGTGCAATTACAACGACGTAGTTGGTATAAGACTTTACAAAGACACATGTGAGTTCGTTGGCGGCGTTACTGCGCCAAAAAAAATTATCTGCGTCGGCACCGATGGTGTGCAGCGTCGTCAGCTCGTAAAGGGCAAGGACGACTTGCGACAAGATGCGGTGATGCAACAAGTGTTCACCGTGATGAACACGTTGCTGCGTACGTGCAAGGAAACGAAGCGCCGAAATTTGCGCATCAGAACGTACAAAGTAGTGCCGTTGACGCAGAGATCGGGCGTACTGGAGTGGTGCGACAACACAGTGCCTATTACCGCAACTCTGGTGGGCACTCCTAGTGCGCCTGGCATGCATCGAAAGTATTATCCGCGAGATCTCACCGCGGAAATGGCCAGAGATAAAATAAAAAATGTTGCACAAGAATCAAACGAGGTCGTGATTACTTTATTAATCTTTATATCACTTTTTTTTTTTTTAATTTCAACAATAAATAAGCTCTATCTTGTTTCGAATGTTTAGAAAAAACTAAAAGTTTTTCTCGACTGCTGCAAACGCATGAGGCCGGCATTCCATCACTTCTTCGAGGAGAAATATCGTTCGCCCGAAAGCTGGGTTGAAAGGACTCTTACATATACACGTAGTGTCGCCGTCACGTCCATCGCGGGCTATATTTTAGGCCTCGGTGATAGACATTTAAGTAATATACTCATCGATGAACACACGGCGGAAGTGGTACACATTGACTTTGGCGTTGCTTTTGAACAGGGAAAAGTTTTGCCGATTCCTGAAACTATCCCTTTTAGGTAGAGTAGGGAAAAGCAATATTGTATTTTTATTATTATTATTATATATTTCTGCGAATCTTCTGTGATTTTTATGTAATTTCGTCGTTGTTGTGTTTACTTTGTTATATAGACTGACCAGAGACATTGAGGTCGCTATGGGTGCGTACGGTATTGAGGGCACCATGAGGCGCAGCTGCGAAGTAACCATGACGATGCTGCGCGATCAGAGACAGATTATAATAACTCTTCTTCAGGTTTTGTTATACGATCCCCTTTTTACATGGGCTATCACACCAGAAAAAGCATGGAAGATGCAGAGCGATGTCATGAAAGACTTTACAGATAGCAGTGGAAAGAGTAAGGAAATGTGTGTTAAAACTTTCATTCTTTTAAATATCGTTTTTTATAAATTTTTTTGTTGTTGTTTTTTTTCGTTCTTAGCACTTGTGGAAACAAATAAGATTGCTAAAAGAGCTCTTTTGAGAATTGAGCAAAAATTACAAGGAACAGAAGATGGTTTGGTATCTAGTGTTTCCGGACAAGTTGAGAGGCTGCTGCAAGAAGCACGGGATCCTGCTAACTTATGCCGAGTCTATTGTGGCTGGCAACCATATTTGTGAAAACGTTATATAATATACTTCTTAGATATGTTCTCCTAATATACCTCTAGAGATATGTTCTGTAGTCTGAAAAGAATACCAGTATGTAGAGTTTTAACTTTTTAATTTTACTCATATTGCTAAGATTTAATTTAAGCAAGAAATAAGCGTTTTTTTTTGTTTTTTTATACCTGATGTGTTTTTTAACAGCAGAAAAATAGTCAATATCTATCAGTTGCTTAATCAACAATGTATATTGCAATTACATTTTTTATACTGTTCGAAATAAAAACTTTTTATATTTTCATTATTTTGTCACCTCATTCGGTGAGAAAATCTAATCTCGTGCCTACACGCGTGCCCGCGACTCGCGATCGTTGTAGACTCGACTTTAAGATATTTGTGTGGTACGATGTTTCCGGAAGGAAGCAACAATTCACCGATTTCATTTCTGTATACAAATGAAGTAAGTAACTCGTAACGCGTCTAGTAACTTTGATCTAGTAAAGGCATATATACATATGACATTTAGTACACATACATTTGTATGCAATAATGCTTCCCGAAAGGCGCTTCCCTCTCTACATTGTTTTTTAGTCGTCAGCTGCTAGCGAGTAAATCTGCTTTGCTGATTAGACATAGACATCGCCGATGTCGCGGAAGCTAACGTCAAAGCATCTCGACGAGAATCGCCGTTTGTAGACAAACGCGGGTAAACGCTCGAACATTTATTTAAAAATCCACTTGTTTGCACTTGTTCGCACGGGGACGAGATAATCGTCTCTTGTCAAGATTTTTCCGTCGACAAGTTTGATTTGAGCGAAAAAGTTCACGTAAAAAGATTTTTATGTTTCGAGTGACCACGAGTTTGCGTGAAACTGGCACGTATTTCTTCCTAAAACGTTTTTTAGAAGAAAAGTTAATGATTGCTCTCTACTTCGGAAAGAATAGATAATCATGAAAATCAAATTTGGTGCTTGTAATGTTCCGTGAGGATATACATCGTTGGATTCGCCGCTGTCACTGGCTCGCGCATGCACGGAGAGGTTCTTTGTAGATTTACCTGCTGCAGCCGTGATCGCGCGTATCGCTTTGCTCCGTTCTCGCGAACGGGGCTTGCGAAAACACGACGTGGGAGTGCGAAGAGGAGCGAGTTGAATTGGCATACACCGTCGTTCGACGTCCACGGTGCTAAGGTTTTATCGTTGTCGTAAAACAATATTTTTGCCATTTCGCAACGTACGATCGATTCAGTCACTTCTTGCCCGCCATCTTGCGAGAACAAAGTTTGTGACAGGCGATCCTTGTGAACAAGCGCGAGGGCGGGGGTAGTGCGAGAGAGACGATTCCTTTTATGCGGTACGCGCGTTTATCCGGTTGTGCATCGTTCGATTACCATCGGCTATCATCTGAGCGAGGAGACGGCGAAGTATCTTCGCCGAAGAGAGGAAAAAAATAAGTGGCTGTGGTTATCGGTGGCACACCGCAAATACCGCAACATTTGCTGAATCTATACACACAATACATTCGCAAACCCTTAACACCCGCGCGCACGTACAATACGAACTGTCGTCATTGTGTAGTCGTCGCTTCCTCTGAGCGCAATGGCTCTGGAAACGCCGAGGGAGCGAGAAATCGCCGCCGAGGACAGCATCAAGGTGGTCTGCAGGTTTCGGCCTCTCAACGACTCCGAGGAGAAGGCTGGATCCAAGTTCATCGTTAAGTTCCCCTCTGGCGGCGAGGAGAACTGTATTTCGATCGGAGTACGTAGGACGTTACGTTGACGTGAACGTGATTAACGCAGAGTCTGATCGAAGGAATTGATAATCTTGCAATTAAATTTTTCCCGTGTATATTCGATTTTTTCTGCTTGTGTAGTATTGAAATTAATATGCAAAATTTTTTAACATATATAGTTTTTAGCTACAATGTTACGTTAATTTTAGGGCAAAGTATATCTCTTTGATAAAGTATTTAAACCAAACGCTACGCAAGACAAAGTCTATAATGAAGCGGCAAAGTCTATTGTTACGGATGTTTTGGCGGGATACAATGGGACTATCTTTGCCTATGGTCAAACATCATCAGGTAAGTTTTGGTATATGAAATGTGTAACTTGTAATTGAAATAATTTTAAGTGCTTGTTGTATTAAAATCTTTGTATACAGGCAAAACACATACAATGGAGGGTGTCATTGGAGATCCTAACAAACAGGGTATCATACCCAGAATCGTCAATGATATCTTTAATCACATCTATGGCATGGAAGAGAATTTGGAGTTTCATATCAAAGTATCCTACTTTGAAATCTACATGGACAAAATTAGGGATCTTCTTGATGGTGAGACATTATTTTTGATTGTGCATCATCTTGTGACAAGTTGTGTAATATATTTCTATAATAAATGAAATCTTTATATATTTTAGTGTCTAAAGTTAATTTAAGCGTGCATGAAGATAAAAACCGAGTACCGTTTGTGAAGGGTGCAACTGAGAGGTTTGTTTCTAGTCCTGAGGAAGTATTTGAAGTGATAGAGGAAGGCAAGTCAAATCGGCACATTGCCGTGACTAATATGAACGAGCATAGCTCACGTTCTCACTCTGTTTTCCTTATCAATGTCAAGCAGGAGAATTTAGAGAATCAGAAAAAACTTTCGGGCAAGTTGTATCTTGTTGATTTAGCTGGTTCGGAAAAGGTAAAATTATGTAAATGTGTATCGGTTTATTTCCCTCATTGCATTTTATTCCTTGATTATATTGTATAATTTTCTTGGTTTGTATTTTATTAGGTTTCCAAAACCGGTGCGGAAGGAACAGTGCTTGATGAAGCAAAGAACATCAACAAGTCTCTGTCTGCGCTTGGTAACGTAATCTCGGCCTTGGCTGATGGCAACAAGACTCACATTCCCTATCGCGACTCCAAATTGACGAGAATTCTGCAAGAATCTCTGGGTGGTAACGCCAGGACTACAATTATTATCTGTTGCTCTCCTGCCAGCTTCAACGAATCCGAAACAAAGTCGACTTTAGATTTCGGTACAACTTCGACATGATTTCTTCACGTTTTACGCTGCTTTTTTGCGGTTTTTGTAAAACCATATTTGTTACAGGTAAACGCGCCAAGACTATCAAGAACGTTGTATGCGTGAACGAGGAGTTAACGGCGGAGGAATGGAAGCGTCGCTACGAGCGCGAAAAAGAAAAAGTGGCGAGATGGAAGGGTAAAGTCGACAAACTGGAAGCTGAACTGTCGCGTTGGCGTCAAGGTGAGACTGTCAGACCGGAAGAACAAGTAAGCTTGATCGAGGGACCTGATGTTACCACACCTATCACCGCCTCTATCGAAGGTAGAGACAACGAAGTACAAATAACAAAGCTTTTATGTATTTATAATAATAATAAGCTTTTATAAATTAATATAATCGTAACTGAAATTTATTATTTTTTAACAAACTGTGAGATTGTAATTCTTTTTATACAGTCAAGCTGGATGAAAGTCCAATGCCCGCCACTCCCGGCGGTGGCCTAATGATTGGTTCTCTCTCAAATGAAGAGCGGCAGAAGCTCGAAGAGGAACGCGAGAGGCTGTATCAACAGTTGGACGATAAAGACGAGGAAATTAATCAGCAGTCGCAGTATGTCGAAAAACTGAAGGAGCAGATGGAGGAACAAGAGGAACTTATTGCGAGCGCAAGGCGGGATTATGAGCAGCTGCAGCAGGAGATGAACCGAATTCAGCAAGAAAACGAGAGTGCTAAAGAAGAAGTGAAAGAAGTGTTGCAAGCGTTGGAGGAACTTGCAGTCAATTACGATCAAAAGTCGCAAGAGGTAAACGTCTCCGAATTTTTTCTGAGAAGATATAGGTGTGTGTGTGGAGGGGGAGGAGAGAGAGAGAGAGAGAGGAGAGAGAGAGAGAAAGAAAGAAAGAGGGGGGAGGAGAGAGAGAGAGAGAGAGAGAGAGAGAGAGAGAGAGGGAGAGAGAGAAGCTTATATATATTGCTCTAACTTCAGGTCGAATTGAAGAATAAGGAACAAGAATCAATGACGGAGGAACTTCTGGCCAAACAAGTAGCATTAAACAACACAGCGTCAGAGTTGCAACAGTTGCGCGACATGTCGGCCCATCAAAGAAAACGCATTGCGGAAATGCTGGCAAACTTTTTGAAAGACTTGGGAGAAATTGGCGTAGCTATGGGTGGCGAATCTAATGAAAATCTAAAGGTAAGAATATTAGAATTATAAGGATTTAACGAAAGGTTTAAACGGATTGGATTTGATGATGATCGCCGTTATTTCGAGTTCAGGTTGCTCCACCGGAAAGCAACGGCAAATTAGAAGAAGAATTTACGGTGGCACGACTATTTATCAGTAAGATGAAGTCCGAGGTGAAGAACCTTGTGCAGCGATGTCAGGGATTAGAAAGCTTTCAAGTAGATTGTAACAAAAAAGTGAGTTTTGTTTTTGCGTTAATCTCAATTGTTTTTTGTCTCAATTTTCTAATGTTTTTTTATAAACTCTTTAGGTTTCCGAGTACGAGAAGGATCTAGCTGAGTGTAGGTTATTGATCTCGCAACACGAAGCTCGCATGCAAACGTTGACAGAATCGATGAAGGAAGCTGAAACGCGTAAGCGATCGTTGGAAGAAGACGTTGATGCGCTGCGAGAGGAATGTGCAAAATTGAAAGCTGCCGAACAGGTGCAAGCCGTCACAAACAAAGAAAAAGCCGAGGAGAAGGAAGCGGCGACGAAAATGCGAGTGGCTTTGGAAGAGCAAATGGATCAGTTGAGAGACGCGCATCAAAAACAGGTTTGTTAAGTTTTTATTTATTTAGTTGTAAGTTTTTCGGGATTTTCATACAATTTTTTTATATTATTACTTTTTTTAACATTCGATTTATATATAATTTTGCTTCTCAGGTTGCTGCGCTCAGAGACGAACTCTCTGAAAAGCAGGAGCTGATCAGCGAGCTTAAGGATTTGAATCAGAAATTCACTTTGGCGCATCAGCAGATGCAGGCGGATTACGAGCGGTTGAAGCAAGAAGAGGCTAATAAATCGGTCAAGCTACAGGAGCTCATGCTACTGAACGAACGCCGAGAACAAGTATTTTGTGATATTGAAAAAAACTTTAAGCAAAAATTTATTTTTTTAAATTAACTTGTAATAAACTTATTATTGTATGTGCGTGATGATTTCAGGCAAGAAAAGATCTCAAAGGATTGGAGGATACGGTAGCCAAAGAATTGCAAACTCTGCACAATTTGCGCAAGTTGTTTGTTCAGGATCTGCAGGCTAGAATAAAGAAAACCATCAACGCGGAGGACAATGAAGACGATGGCGGATCGCTCGCTCAAAAACAAAAGATCTCTTTCCTAGAGAATAACTTGGACCAATTGACCAAGGTTTTGTTTTATCCGATGCACTATATCGTACACATATTTTGACGCATATCAAATGAAAAAACTTAATTTTCTTTCTTTTAGGTGCACAAACAACTCGTTAGAGATAATGCCGATCTCCGTTGCGAGCTGCCCAAGCTGGAGAAGCGATTGCGCGCAACAATGGAGCGTGTGAAAGCCTTAGAAACCGCTCTACGTGATGCCAAGGAGGGCGCGATGCGAGATCGCAAACGCTATCAATACGAAGTCGATCGAATCAAAGAAGCGGTTAGACAAAAAAATCTGGCGCGTCGTGGGCCGAGCGCACAAATCGCGAAACCGATCCGAGCTGGTCAGCCTCATTTGAACGTGAACGCCATCAGAACTGGCAACCGTGGTAAGGAGTAATTCTCTCTACTCTCTTCAGTTAATGTGTACCATAAAGTCATCGTCGTCTCTTTTTTTTATCGTCGCATAAAATTACAAGTTATTATTATTTTTTTTTTTTACATATATTTTGTTAAGTAATAAATTTAATTATATGTGCGTTTGTTCGATATTAAATTGCAAAAAAATGACAATTCTTTTGTAAATAGGTTGATTTTGATTTCTTTTAATTTTTGTGACGCAAGCTACTTTATCATAAAACGAGAGAAACCGATCAAACACAAGTCTTACGACGTTTCTTTCAATCAATCTTATGTTTTTGCATGTTGAATCAATTATTTATGGCTTCAGCTGACAATAATGTCGGTGTTATTTTTTTTCTTTTTAGTTATGATTATTGTTTCTGTTGAGATGACGATGTTCATTTCGCGAGATGTAAAAGAACTTTTTATTTGACCGAGCAATTGTTACTTTGAAGATTTATTTGTTTTTTCTCTCTTTTTTTCATGTTCCTGATCTCTCTCACACACACACAGATATGGGTAACAACGTACAGTGATCGTGATCGCATAATGCCAAAATATCCTTCACTTTTACAGAAAACGAATGCAAGAATGCTTTCATCGATGAAAACAAAAGAATTCCAACGGCTCTTATGTATAATGGATATGCATAAATGTTATCATAGTTAACTATTATAAAAAAGTAAGGGCAATAGTACTATATTAATCTGCAAAAGAAAGCACCGCTAGTTTCTTTTTTTTTTTTTTTTTTTTTTTTTTTTTTTTTTTTTTTTTTTCTCTTTTTCTTACTTTTCGGAGCAGGCATGTGCTTAGATATATATATGTATAAGACTTAAGTATATGATTAAGACACAACATGTCAGTGTGTGTGAGAGTGAGTGAGTGAGTGAGTGAGTGAGCGAGCGCGCGCGCGTGTGTGTGTGTGTGTTGGCATATACACATACAAGATATTCTATTTCTACTGCACCAGACGTTAATAGTAGATTTTTGAGATTATGGCACCAAACACAATATAATTCGGATAAATAAAAGAAAAAATATTCCTTTAAAAAAAACAGTTACTTTAATAAAATAAACCAGCGTTTTTCAATCGGTGCGTTGCGATAAGAAATATTATGAGGCACCAACAAGTACGAGAATGTTTTGTCGGTATTTTTTTATAATTAAAAACTATTTTTGTTTCAAATATGCATTTCATGTGTTATATTTTTACTCCATATATTTTATATATTCATATTTATACCTATTTTTTTAGTCTCTTTATATATAATATGTATTATGAGTAAGAAATGTATCAATTGTATTGTTATATTGTTACTTAAAACGTATAAAACATTAAAAAAGTTTTTATCGGCGGATTATTTTATTTTTTATTGTTTCACTAAGAAAAAGAAAGCGTGTGAGAGAGAAAGAAGCTCTTGTGTGCCTTGACAAGCGTAACTCTTGTTTGTTAGTGTTCCGCGAGTTGAGAAAGATTGAAAACCGCTGAAATAAACCAATTATATAATTAAAATGATAAATTAATGACTACATTAATTTCAAATATTTAAAGTCGTTATAAAAAATTCTTTTTAAGAGAACATAATTATACAACTTGTAATATTGTCAATAAAAAGTATAACAACTAAATAAATACTCGTAGAAAACAACTGATAAATACATACACATTAAAACCACTTTAGAGCATAAAGAAAAGTGCAACTGATAACGCAGTATGTACATGTCAACACATACAGAGAAGAGAACTTAGCCAATTTAACAGACTCAAAGAAATGAGGACATAAAATAGCTGAATAGATACACAATTGAGAAAAATAGTTAAAGGCAAATATGCTTTCTTTTTAACGTTTTATTTTTATATAATTAACGTTATGTTTTTAAACTAGTTTTTTCCTTAATGTGCATTATTTTTTAAATTAGTTTCGTAATCACTTAGTTTTATATCTGATATTCTTTTAAGTATTTATGTATCTATTTATTTATTTATTTATTTATTGTGTATACTTTTGCACGCTTTGATCGTTTTGTTATTAATCCCGAATTATTATTTTTTGTAATAAAGATTCACACAAAATAATTCAGAGATTGCGGTACGCAATAAGAAGAAAAATGTGTGTGTGTGTGTGTGTGTGTGTGTTTGTCGTCTCAGCAATCGCCGTCGCGAGATACGTGTCTTCCGTGTAACCGTCTTAAAAATTGTCTTGTAGAAATCTATCATTAACGTCTGGTATGGAATATCCTGTACATATAAAAGATGAGCGCTGCATGCTTTCTATCGATGTGTACATAGATATTTTTTATAAATTATTTAATTTAAAACTAAATATGTATGTTGATGATTCGATAATAAAGCGAATATATGATCGCGCGGAGTCTCCTTGCCACTTTCTCGGAATCATTTAATTGAATATAATATTTCTATTTCGCACACGCACACTAAAGCAAGACAGTAAAATAAAAGTTTTGCCTCAAAATCTTGTAAAAGGCAAACAATACTTAACGATTAAGGAAGATGATTGAATCGCGAGTTGCGATTTATTTACGAGTGTATAATTATTAGTAATAATTAAGTATGAAAGATAATCGCAATGGTTTACGCAATGTTCATAATCATAAAAACTCTCTCACTCTCTTTCTCTTTCTCTCCCCTCTCTTTCTTCTCTTTCACCGGATAATTATAATTGATAATTCACAAGCTGACTATAGTTTGTGTCGCAGCTTACGTCAATTTCGCCTGAGAGCACGTTTGACTGAAAGTTAAACGCAAAATTGCTTCTTCAGAGCGTTCTCCGGAATATCTCTTTTCTCTTTCTATATGTGTAAGAGACACAATCGCTTACTGACGGATAACACGTGGCTCGTGATGACTGCTAGAAATAGAATACTCTTTCGCGATACTGTACCGCGTAACTATGAAAGTCATTATTTTGAATGGTTTTGTCATACACGTACATGATCCGTATCATTTATGCAAATTTACTTTTTCATTAAAAAAAATTTATTTCTAAATAGAGAGATTTTACACAAAAAGTTTTCAAAGAGATGCGAGCTAATAAGAAAAACAATTATATTTATAGTTGATGATAATACACACACACATCCACATAAAAAGCATTTTTTGAAAAAACTTTTTTGTTATCTATTTGCTATATATTTTTTTTTTTTTTTGTTTCTCTCTTTACTTTTGTGATATGTAACTATATATTTGAGGGTGAGAGCGCGTCTTTTTTTGTTCATATACACAAGAGTAACTAAGAGATAAAGAGTAGTGTATTACACATTGTGAATGCGATTATTAATTGGGGTTGTTTTATTGCATATGTGTAAATATTTACTGCTATATATGTGTAATTTGTACATCACGTTAATTGTAAAACATGTTACGTTAGTTTCTCGTGAAAACAGTTAAGAAAAAAGCGTACCACTTTCGATGAAAGAGAGAACAAGCATACATTCTATACACACAATGATGTATTTCTCGCAGATATAAAATATACATTTAAATATCAGTGTTTCTCTCCACATTATGCGTCTTTTTTAGATACAGTCGATATTATTATATCTTTCTCAATTGTATTGCGCTGAAAATTGTAAGATGTCTTACATCTCGCTGCTATCGCATAAGTTTCCTCTTATCGCCGCTACTAAAATCATTATCTCATCATTGAATAAGATCATCGGCTTCGATAAATTGCTTATATCAAAAAAACCGTCGCACCGTTCTTCCTCCTCTTTCTTCTCCTTCCACTCTTTTGTTGTTTCTTTTTGTCAGAAATTATAAGATTCAACAAACACGCAAGACGTCATTGTGTAACGATTTTTCTAACAAGTAATAACAATCTCGTGCACGATTATTATACATGTATCAAACATCAGTTAGTCAAGCGGATTTGACGAGGGGAAAAAAGCGCCAGAGATGTCAACATAATTATTTTCATACATCCTCAGATGTTGTTTCCAAAAACTCGTAACAATCACAATTAGGCAAAGTTAATTAATTAATTGACAAAGTATATGTACACACATTCAATCAGTCAGTCACGTCACTGTTAAAGAGGAGGTCGATCTATAACTGCAGAGCCTTTTCTTGTCTCCGTAAGTGAGCGGAAAAAATTATTTTTCACAATTGTTTTAAAAAAAATAAAAGATGACGACAGTAAATCATCGAGAGAATATTCGTTATATAAAAAACGTGATTTATAGAATCTCAGCAAATTAATCCTTAAGTTCCAGCAAAGATTTTTATTTTCTACGCAGATGTTTTGTGATTATTGTGTTTTTACGCGTAAATAATCGAGTTCGGATCTACCTCATCTGAAACAGCAAAATATATCGAACGCATAACAAATCGCATAGATATTTTAATCATTTTCTTAGACTTTATAGATGATAGTAGATTTGTATACAAGGTGTAGAGAGGCTGTATAACAAAAAATACTATATAAAGTATAATAGAAAAGTCTTCTCGCTGATTAAAATTTTAATTTTTAAAGATGATCATTTCGACCGTATTACGTTTATTACGTCAGAAGCAAAAAATTTCTACGAAGTTTTGTTATGCAATTTACCTCTAAATGAACTAATTTGTATAGTTGCTACTAAAGCATAAAATCTGTCAAAAATTGCTTTTTTGTATTTTTTATAGAATAATATAAATATTTATAAATTTAATTGTCACAAAATCTATTTTTGCTGATTATATAAGTAGATTTATACGCACAAATGTATATAAAATTTAAATTTTTTCAATGTAAATTGCACAATATTAATTTATAAAAATTTTTGCTTCTGACATAATGTAATACGACTGAAACGAGTGCCCGTAATATTATTATTATTACACAAGTTGTAATATTAGGTTATTATTATTATTATTATTATATTTTTATTATTATTACATTATTGCGAACAAAATCTTTGCCCGTCGAGTCCGCCCTGCAAGCTTCGAATTAATGCAGGACGAACGTATGGGCGTTATCCTGTGACAGCATTTCGTCCCACGATGATTAACCGCCTATATATAGGTCGTAATATTATTATTATTATTGTTCGAATTAGTTAGATAAGTGCTTACATTGAAAAGTAAAAGAAAAAACGAGAAAAAAACAATAAACGACTGTAATTCACGTATTTATTTATATGGTCGCACCGCATATTGTTCCGGCGAAATAATCTTCGAAAGAAATATATTTATAAAGTAATACAATAAATATATATATTATACATATATTTATCTCGCGCATAAGATTTATGAGTAATTATCCCATTGTAATTATTTACTATCCTTTTATTATCCTTTCTTCTTTATTTCCTTTCAGTTTCCTTACTATATTATTCTCTTGCTAAAAAAGCAAAGAAAATTGAGATTAAAATTTTAGAGAGTGATTTACAGAAACTATATTGTGTACTTATAAAAAGTTGTATTTATTGTTGATATATAGTGTAATACATACATTGCTGAATCAAACCACACGACAATCGGAATAACATAAATTATGTTGCGCAAATTTACTCGCTAAGAGATGTGTGTCTATTTTATAGAGCACATCTTTCTTGTTTAGTTTACAAAGTTTTCTATTTGTTTTAAGACTTATCAGTAACACATGTAAACAAGGAATCTTTAATATAGTTTGTAAACAAATAGAAGAATCTTTTACCTACTTTATCGTTTTAAATTTTTTTTATCTATTAAGAATTATAAAATTAAGCGAATTTAATGACTGTCTTGAATGAAAATAATGCTAAAAAAATTTATATATATACATGATTTTTATAGTTATCCTAATTTTTGAAAAAAAAAGTAAAGTTATACACTTAGAACTAACAATATAAGGCATGTACATACACATGTATATATTGATAAAGACGTAAATGTACAAGAATCAAATGTAATGCAATTTAATGATTTTTCTCTACAGTACTTGATGATATTAAAAAAGTAACATTTAATGTATATTAGTATAAATTATTATTATGTAAACCCTGGCGAGATATGTTTATAGTAGAAACAGTTGTACAATATGTGAAACATTATAATCTTATTAGAATTGAAATATGAGTGAACACTTTACTTTGAACAAACTTTGTGGTGTATAATTCGTTGTAAATTTAAAACTTAAAAAACAACAATCATCAGTAAAAACCCGTGGAAAAAAGATATCAAAAACGTAAAAAGGACGTCAAGTATACACCAATATACCGAATATTTCTGCCCTTGTAAATCTAGTACATACAATAAAAAANTTTTTTTTTTTTTTTGATGTCTTTTTCCACGAATTGTGGCAGTGGTAATCGTTTTACACCGCGTTAATTACTGAATTTGCGACTCGTTTTACTCACCGCAGCCATTTCACATTGAACCGTAATATCAAAAGCGAGAGAAAACATAGATTTCTTAAAAACACAGAAGCTTTTATACATAAATAAAAGTTTTATACAATTCAAAAGAAATCTCTGTCGAAAATTATAAGAGAAAAGAGGTAATGTGAAAAAAAAGAAGAGACCAGAAAAAAGAAAAAATTACTTGACTCTAATTGACTCGGACTGGTAAACACTTAAAAATTATTTAGAACGCTAGCAATTACTCACATTGTTTGCACAAGTTTATCCATTCGTTCAATGGCGCTACGGTCTAAGTCGAACCTTTAACAACTCCGATGTTATAATCGGAGAATTAAAACTAGATTTTCCAGATAATAGATATATAATTACAGAATTAATAGATAGTAAAGATAAGGATAGTTAATTAGACAGTATCATGAACACAACACTAACGTAATAACATAGCGCACAGCACTATTATATTTACTATCAGGGAGCCGCAGAGAAGCACGGACAACCAACCAGGGCTCGTAATGATAGTCGTCGTGTGACCAGGAACCACTAGCGTCGAATCTCCCCGATTCTCCGCACTCGACTCACTTTCTTGGATGTCTGTCTTGCATATCGCGCGACGCGAATAATCACACGCACCTTCACGCTGCGACTGCACGTGGAAAGGCACAGTTGATCGTGACACGACGTGGCAAGATAATCTCGTTGCATTCGACACAACAGAACAGCGATCGAGCTCGTGTACCGACGACGGTTCACGTGATGACGCAAGATTAGACGAACCGGCCGAGCCGAAACCGGAGCTTTGACTGGACGACCGCGAGAGAGTCGTCGGCGTAGTTGGCATTCCCTCCTGCCAGTAACCGCCGGCCACCCACGAAGTCTGCGTGACTGACTTCAGTTTCGGTGGCGACAGAATATACTTCCGATTATTGGACACGCTGGACTTTTTGAAGAGACTTTCGGAACTCGTTGCGCTGTACGTTCTTTTTTCGAATATCGTCGGTGCCGTTTTCGCGTTTTCTTTGTTACATCTTGTCGTTGAGAAGTCTTCGCTCAGAAAAAGTGTGCTCATACTTTCGTTCAGACAGTAATCATTCTGTGGATTGTTCCTGCTTTTAGAAACAAAATTTAGATAATTGCATCAGCACTTACTAATACTTTTTATGTATCTCAAACTTAAATAAAATCTAAAATCGATAAAAGTACATTACACGTGTGCAGTATAATAAAGATGTATAAGAATGTATAAAAATATACAACGTATAAAACTACTCACATTATTGAATATGACTGAATTTTGGAGAAAGATAACTTATTTGTCAACTCAACACTGTTGTTTGTCTCATTCCAAATGCTATCGTTTGTATTTTGATTCTTAAATTTAGACTGAGATAGAGCAATGCTCTGTGAGTGCAACTTGTGAGTGAGCTTCTTAAATTTGACTGAAACAAATCTATTTTTATACTGACTAGGTTTTATACTCAGGATGCCTATAAATGCACATACTAGTATCTGAAAGAGAATAAAAATATAAATAAATGATATTTATATATATATTTATAGTTTTACTTTACTCAGGATTAAAATATCTTTTGTTTACTTAGCTCACCATGTGATACTCATTAATATACTTTGATGGAAACCATACATTTTCAAACGTTGTTAAATTTTTAACAGATAGAAGAATACTGATACAGATCCATAAAACTATCAACAATATATCAAAATTTTTTTTCCTCAACGAGCTTGTCCAACAAGCACATAGATGAGACAATAATCCACTGATTGCTAACCATGGAAAATCAAGATTATAAATTATAATTAAATCCAAGATTATCGAAGTAACTCGAAACGTTATTTCAATTTTTCTTGCATTCTAAAAAAAATTATTGAATTTGTTACAAATTTTAAAAATATTTCAAGATATAGTAATTATATATAAATTCTGTATCTTTTTTATAAGATATATACTTACTTTAATGAGCATTTGAACTGGCTTTTTTCTAAAAAACGACATTTTATAGGCAGCAAGCCATAATGCCTGTTTATGCAGCACATCATATACTGTCAATTTGCAATTTTTACATAACGGATATCTTTCTTCTAAATACTCTTTAAATGCTTTCAGCTCGTCATTATGCAGCTTTCTGTTTCTAGGTTCAAAGTTAGATAATTCAATCAATTTTAAACTTTCTTGCTTGTTACAATGTTCACAAAGATCACTTTTTGGAATCTTGTACATGTTATTTTTTTGTTTAAGCAATCTGCAGTACACAGGGTTTGCGCCGGATGAAGTATATTGCTCTGGAATATTGCGTGCATAATCGCCATTCTGTGGAACAAATAATTTTATGTACAACATCAATATTGGAAATAAACAATTATAATTCTCTAAGCAGATGTAGGCTTTTGTGGTTTATACCTTAGAGAAACCGTTGTATTGTTCGCACCAAGGGCACAACCACCAATTCCGATTTTGTCTGGGTATCTTTGTGTTCTCATTGCAGAACCAGCAATTCACTTTTACGGGCCATCTCACTCTAGGAAACGCGATCGCAACAGTAAAATATTTTGTCGTAAAATAAAAAAAAACAGAAGAGCAAGTAATAAATTACGCACACACAAATATATAATACTGCGCACAACAAAATAAACTCACTTTAATCTGTGGAAGACTGTTGAACACGTAGCGAGAAATAAAAGAGCCGGTACAAATGCGAGCGCATAATCAGACACCGAGTTCTGATCAAACCCCATTGCATCTCGGGAGTTAATATACTTTTTAAAACGACAATGAACACACGGAGTCAGGCGGCATCGATAGAAAACACTCTTCCGACATTCGAGGAATGTTGTTGTTAACTGTATATGATAATTAGCTGAACGAATGAATGATCGATGATCGGCGAACTCGCCATACTCTAACCAAGTATCTGTTAGGCATAATCTCACGTTCGTATGTTTTGAATTTGATTGACTATCACTTGTGCAATCGTAAAATTATTTCAATACACCGCATAACTTCAAATTTTATCTTACAATATAAATATTTTTTTTTTTTTTTTTATAAAAAATAGGTTTCAACGTTGAACAACTGTCTTCACGATGTTCACGATACTTGCGGCACGTGGAACGGTGAGATCAGTCATGATCAGAGACAGAGTTGCAAGATCGAGCAGAGAGCAACGAGAGATCGAAGCGGTGGGGATACGCGCACGAGCGAGAACCGCCGTCGGGATACGATACCAGGCGGTGGGGATACCTCGCTTCGATACTCTCGATCTTGTCCGGCACGATCTGGCATCTCTGTGAGTCATGATCAGTCATGATGTAAATCTATGATAAGACCGAATCCGCAATGATTGCAAGTCACAAACACCACCGCAAAATTTACAGAATTGATCAATGCGATTGGTCAATTCTGGGGATTTTGTTTTTGTCATTACGACTCGCAATCATTATGGAATAGACTTAAAGCGAAGTAAAAACACCTCACGTGATTCGATGCGTGCGTCCAATGAATGAAAAGTACGCATGCGCGGAAAGTCCCACGAATCATTCCATCGTCACTGTACTTATCTTCTTGATACTGTTTCAGGTGAGATCGAATGGATTGAAGATTGAGATTATAGATGAATGTAGAAGACAGCATACATGTATATGTTATATATATATATATATATATATGCATATATGTATAACGCACCTTTTTTTGTCTAAAGTTAACAACAATGTGTAGAATGGTAGGTGAGATTGTTATGTCGATACATATACTCGGTTTCACAAAAAATTACGCGTTATCCGATTTATGTCGAACATGACACAATCGCTTGCACAGTGTTTTTTATTCTCTCAATTTTCTATGCACTTCTCACAATTTAATGTCAAAAAAGATACAGTATTGTAGACAACGTTGATTGTGTGAAATGCTTTTTGCAATCAATACTAATGTTTTTCCTTTATTCATGTTTATGTTGACAGTTTGCATGTTATAAACAATTACCTCTACATACGACATATCTGTGATCACTATGTTAGGATTTATAATTAAAGACTAAATAATTGATTGATAAAACTGATAATATATATTATTGACTATGTTATTGTTAATTAAGAAACTTTTTTGCTGTAGGGAAATGTACAAAAAAATGGTGTTACACTATTAGTGGTGATATCTTTATTAATTGAAACAAATGGCTTCTATGTACCTGGAGTTGCTCCAGTGGAATTCAAGAAGGGACAGAAAATTGACGTTAAAGCTGTCAAGATGACTAGTACTCATACACAACTACCATATGAATATTATTCACTTCCTTTCTGCTTACCTAAGAATGGAACTTTTATTTATAAGTCGGAAAACTTGGGAGAAGTGTTACGTGGAGATCGGTAATTTACTTGTTTTTAAATATATTTAGAAATGTTAGTCAATTCAAACCTTCTATGTGTAATAAAGGTTAAATTAAAAATATAGTTTGCTTGTATATCTAGCGTATAACTCAAATTTCTATTTCTTGATTTAATTAAATAGTTTTTAATTGCAGATAATTTTGTTTGAGGTTTTTAGGATAAATAACTTTTACTTTAATCATGTAAAATTGCAATTTGAATAAATTTTATTTCTATTTAAAACAGGATAGTGAACACTCCATATGAGGTTGTGATGGGAGAAGATATTTCTTGTAGACTTCTTTGTCATAACCCGTCCAATTTGATGACTTGGGACGAAGCAAATTCTCAGCATGTTATCCAGATGATTCAGCACGAATATTTTGTGCATCTGTAGGACATTTATTATTTATTTATGTATATGTGTGTATTTTATAAAAAAAAAAAAGATCTTTTGTTATATTTGTCTCGCATTTTCTTTCTAGATTGATAGACAATCTGCCAGCAGCTACCAGGAAAAAACACAAGGAAACGAATAACATAATTGTTTATCAGGGATATCGGCTAGGTGGATTAAGTGATCAACCGAATGATCAAGTATATATTAATAATTATCTTAAATTAAAATTGAGCTATCATAAACATGGCGAGTGAGTATTGTTTAATTTTGAACATATTTGCATGTAGTAAAATTGTAGTTAAAATAAAGCTTTTATATTAACTAATTCAATAAAAATTTATTTTTGCAGAAATGAATTTAGAGTGGTTGGATTCGAGGTAGAAGCTCGATCAATTGACACATCTCAATTGAAGTTTGATGGAAATACCTGCATTCTACCAAATGAAGCGACTCCACAGTTTGTCAATCCTAAAGGCACAAGCCTTCTTTTCCTGTATTCAGTAGAGTGGAAACAATCGGATGTAAGCTGGGCTAGCAGATGGGATGTATATCTGGGCATGAGTGACGTCGAGATCCATTGGTTCTCGATCATCAATTCTCTCATCGTGGTTTTTTTCTTGTCTGGTAGAAAAACTTTCTATATGTAAAATATTGATTTTCTCATAAAATAACGTATAATAAAAATTCAGCAGTTTTTATAATTTTTTAGAATGTATGTAATGTTGTTGATCTTTTAATCACAGGAATTCTGACAATGATTATGGTAAGGACACTCAGAAGAGACATTGCCCGTTACAACGCAGGTGAGAGTGACAGTCTAGCGGGATTGGATGAGACCATCGAGGAAACCGGCTGGAAGTTGGTTCACGGCGATGTGTTTAGACCGCCAACTAACGCACGCTTGTTTGCTGCCGTGATTGGAAGTGGCATTCAGATCTTCAACATGGCTCTGATTACGTTGTGTAAGAAAATATATTCTAATATAAGATATTCTGGATATATATAGCGAGAATTTATGTACTTTATACAACATATTTGTTGTTTCTACAGTCTTCGCAATGCTAGGAATGTTGTCGCCAGCGAGTCGAGGAGCCTTAGGCACCTGCATGATATTTTTGTATGTTTTTTCCGGTTCGATCGCTGGCTATTTTTCAGCGCGATTGTACAAAACAATGCGCGGACGGGAGTGGCGAAAAGCCGCTTTACTGGTTAGAACATTTATATGTACACCTATTAACTTACTATATTTATAAATCCTTGCAAAACACATATTGTTTGCATAATATAAATGTGTTGCAGACGGCGACATTTTACCCTGGCATAGTTTTCACAACTTGTTTCTTTTTAAACTTCTTTATATGGGGAAAACACAGTTCGGGAGCGGTTCCTTTCTCTACTATGGTAGCCTTGCTGTGCCTCTGGTTCGGTATTTCGCTGCCTCTCGTCTATATCGGTTATTTCTTTGGATATCGTAAGCAACCTTTCACGCATCCAGTTAGGACGAATCAAATTCCCAGACAAGTTCCCGATCAATTATGGTACATGAATCCGCTTTTGTGGTAAGTTTACATCTGTTTGAATACAAAAAATTAAGACAATATTACATAACATTTTAAAATCTTGTTATTCGCAGCACTTTGATGGCTGGAATTCTACCTTTTGGTGCAGTATTTATAGAGCTCTTCTTTATCCTGACCGCGCTGTGGGAGAATCAATTTTATTACCTCTTTGGATTTCTATTTCTCGTCTTCTGCATTCTTGTAATCTCCTGTTCGCAGATATCAATAGTTATGGTCTATTTTCAGCTATGCGGTGAAGTAAGTAAAAAAGAATTTTTATCTTCAAACTTGGTTATTTTTCTTCGAAGATTTAAATTTGTTCTTTATTTTTCTTTCTCTGTTTATGTGTTTTTTTTAGTACTATTTTAGTTTAATATATGTTAAAATATGATTTATTTATAGGATTACAGGTGGTGGTGGCGCAGCTTTATAGTGAGCGGTGGGTCGGCGGTTTATGTACTCGCTTATTCTATCTTCTACTTTGTCACGAAACTGGAGATTACCGAGTTAGTGCCAACTCTCATGTACTTCGGCTACACTGCGCTAATGGTCCTCACATTCTGGTTGCTGACTGGCACAATCGGTTTTTTTGCCGCGTACGCGTTTATAAGAAAAATATATGCGGCCGTCAAGATAGACTAGTCAAGATTATTATTAGTAGACTTGTGAATGTGTGCGAGCGGATGAATTTATAAATTTTCAATTTAAATATATATAAAACACGCGTGAGAGTGGAGAATATATGAGAGAAAAAGAGAGAAAAAACACAAAAGCCTAAATTTTTCGTGTTGTAGAAACAATAAGTGGAAATGCGTAGATGCATTTTCATCTTCCATGAAAATTCGCATTTTCGAAAACATTTACACAGGATTCAGTGATTTACATGTGTACATAAATATTTCACGTGTCGACACCAATTGTTTATTGTGTTGGTTTACATTATACGCGTATAGCAAAAGTTTTATCTTTCATAGAGAAAAGAATAGCAAAAAAGTAATTTGGAAAATTAATTCTTTTTTTTTTTTTTTTTTTTTTCATTTGAAAGCATTCTTTTATTTTAATTTTTTTTTTTTCTATTTTTTGCGTTATTTTTCAGATGGATATTATAGAAAGCTCTTTTTGCGTATTTAAATAAAAGTGTAAAAAATTGTCTGTTGTGTGTGTTAACATTTTTTACAACAAACAAAAAATAAAAAAAAATTTTTGTATTCGTGAATATAAACATCAATTTCAGGAAATTATAAACAATATTTTTTTTTAACTCTTAACCGCAATTTACTTTGTTAGTACTTATGCAATTTATGAAAGAACAATTTGTGGGTGAGAATAATAACAGAAAAAATATTTAAGACATATGACATCGTCATATATGCGAAAGAAATTACATAGTAGCCAGTATATGTTATCTTGCAGTATTTATTCAATTCCTTTTTTTTTTTTTTTTTTTTTTTTTTTTTTATTATCTTGAAGATACCACATGCCATTTCGCAATTGTCGTTTGGCTGATATTCTTGTTAAAGTAATTATTATACTATTCTAAATATAAGAGAAAGTAACAATACAAAGTTCTTTTTTTTTTATATGTACATATATATATATACCCAGCATTTTGGTTACAAAACCATATCCATCTGTGTCCTCAGTAGGATATGGTTTGGTAACCATGTCTGTCAACATGTGAAATGTCAAAATGCGATCAAACTGATGATAGAGTCTGCCACAAGCAAAGTGAAGCCAAAATCCAGAATAGCGTCACGTTCGGAAACAGCACTCGCGTACACACGAGCGTCATTCTATCTTTGTTTTATATATAATGAGCAATAAAGATAAAATATACACGAGTGATGTTTCCGAACGCAGCCTAGGTTTGGTCATCGTCTGTTGGCGCCAAATTGCAAACAGTCCGCACGTATACACGAACAGACCTGCTTGGTGTTTGGTGGCAATCTGTCAATGCGTTTAACAGATCGACCCGACTTTCGTCGTAAACAGATCTCTGGTACGGTTTTGCGGACTGTTTGGTCACAGTATTGCTAAAAGCAGATCTGCTTGCAATCGACTATCTATTTGTTGTCAATTTCGCTGACATATATGGAATCAATTTGGCCGCAATATTCTCATGTATTTATCAACAGAGTTGTTGCGTTTTTTCTTTCTGTGTGCTAAGTTTTGGCAGTGTTTCCGTATTGTAGCATTTCTGCAAAGAGTTTCTGTTGCCAAGGTCTGCGCCGAAATTTTCAAGAACAGAAATTGTTTGCTGGGTATATATATATATATATATACACATGTATCTACAAATAAATTTTTATTCTTTAGTTGTATAGCAACTGTTTCAGAATTTGCATTAAAGTTTTATTGAAACTTAATTTGTAATATCACTCTTTTATGACGTATAATTTACACTGTAAACTCGCATTGAAACACGCTCCTTTTCCACTCTCTCTACCTCCCTTTTTTTCTCTCTTTTCGCTTGTTCGCTTGCTTGTGTATATGTGTGTAAAACCGTTCAGTAAATGTACATTAGTAAGCTAGCGTTCGTAAAATAGGATATAGTAAAAGAAAAGGCTCGTTCTTTTTATAATTGAAAATATAACTTAATAAAAGTTGAATTGTAAATATATAAGCACTTTCTATAGGAAACATTTCTTTGTGTGTGTGTGCGCGCGCGCGCAGTGAATTATTGTTACAAAGTATTTTATATCAATGTAAATAACACGTATTGATAACATGTACAAAGTTTTAGAATACTTCGAGAATATCACATCTTTTTTCTCTCTCTTCTTATATATGTATACAAATTCTATTGTATTCTAAATTTGCTCCTACTATGAAAAGCGCGTGTATCAACATCGAGAAACTTACATATATCTCGATAAAACTCTAATATCTTGTTTGTATTATTGCCTCTTCCGCGACGCCGATTGGTTTTCTATGGTTTGGTGTTATAATTTTGACAGTTCCTAACCATTAACATGATTATATTTGTTATGATTCGCGGATGAGATAATTTCAAAAAACATGAAAATATGTACATATACCGGCTGTGTTCGGATATTCACTGCCAATACTGGAAATCTATAGCACATGTGACGCAGAGTTGCAAGATCGCGCACGCAGCAACAAAAGATCAAAGCGGTGGAGACACGTGCGCGATCTTGCACCTCTGATGTGACGTAAAGCAAATAGATTTTTAGTACTGGCAGAATATCGCAGCCACCCTAAGCTCGATGACGTGTGCGTAGCACGCGTCTGCTTTGCTTTAGTATACAAAGTATCTTAAAAATTTTTACACAGCCGAAGTGTAAGAAGTAAATAGATTGAATCAATCCGAACAGAAGTCATTTACCATTTTGCAACTTCGCAATATTTATTGAGCTAGTAATTCATGTCCGGATCATTGCCTTTCACGCACTCATTAACTTATATTCATTGATTAATAACTCTTTACGTAGAATGGCGTATAGACTAGCTCTAACCGGTCTAGGAGCCATATGCGCACCAAACCACTCAAGCCTTGATTAATAACTCAATAAATATTGCAAATTTTGCAAAATGATAGATGATTCTATTCTGTTAAGATTGATTCTATCTTCACACTTTGGCTATGTCACAATTTTTCAAACACCCTATGTATATACATATCAATTTAAATTCAAGGTATTTTCAAGCGAGAGTACGCGTGACATCTCGGCCTGAGCTTTATGATCAAGTAAATCAGAATGCATGTGATGCTGACCGTATAAATTAAAATCACAGTAGATTCCACAGGCATGTAGCATTTTGAGACGGAATAATTGTTGGGAACAAAAGTACCCTGAAACAGACATTGTGTATATATTGCAATATATCGTGAAGACACATATTGAGACATAAATGTAAGTTTAGAATGTAAAAGTATTTCAATTTAGATATTTTTATTTATTTTTTCAAACGGTAATAAATGTTCTTCAAATTGAAAGATAACATAACTATATAATAAACTCGTGTTTTACCAGCAGAAGAGACGGATTGATCTTATTGCGCCAGCTGAAAGACGAGATTGTGAATTCCAGGATATTGTCCCGATGCATTCTTCTGCATCCGTGATGAGTGTGACCGGCAACAATCAGTCGTGGATTCAAAATATCTAGAATCTGCAAAAAAATCCTTATTGTTGATTGGTCGATTCGCCTTCAACAAAAATATGAAACGCGTACTTCTTCCGATGCTTCCTTTGACAAGCATTCCCATCGTTCGCGAAATTTAATGGTCTTTATCTCGTCAGGAGCTTGATCCAATTCGTTGCAAATCTCGTCAGATTCTCGATACATCGGATAATGCTGAGAATGAACGACGCTTATTAACTTCTCTATTAGTAAAACATGTGTATGTTTGTGAAATAATTACTTGCAACAATATCGGTCGGCTGTATCTAGCAATTACGCTTGCGTTGTTACAAGTATCATCTATTTTTCTTGCACATTTTAAATCTCCTATAACGTGTTATAAATATAGATCAGATTAAAACGATTGATCAATCGCAATAATTTTGGCCTACTATACTATTATATAACATAACACGAATGATTACTAGCTATTTTGTTCACTGCAATCTCAGTCTGTCGGCATAAGAAACAGCCGTCTCCTTCTAATGCCATACTGTTAATTAGCACAAAATGATTGTTTCTTATGCTCAATCGCCGCACGCTCGGACTCTTCATACCATTAATGAAACGCTGATTACGATACGGTGTGATTGCTGAAAATATTAAAACATACATATTAAATATGCATGAACAAGACGAAACAAAGAAAGTTATTCCAAGTCCTTAGAAAAATAGTTTTAATTATACCATAATGAAAACCCATATCATGATTTCCAGCGATAACATATATACGTGCGTCTTTAGGTATATAAAACAGAGAATGGAATCTTTGTACGTAGTATTCGAATTCTCCAGAACTACACCAATGTCCTTCATCAAATACATCACCTAATGTTGGAGCAACACAGTAATGAATGCTTCAAATTATAACGATACTAATGATACCTATATTACACACCTAAAACAAAAATTACTTCTGGTCTGTGTAGTGTTATCATGGTTTGAAATGCTCGATACATTTGCCATTCTCTGAAAAAGCATGTCAAACTTTTTAAATAAACCATAATTTTATTATTTAATGTCTATTACATGCATGTTTATATATATATATATATATATATATATATATATATATATATGTCTCATTGCAATTCTTTTTAATAGAAAATGTACCTTCTCAATTTATCAAACCAGTGACCTTCTTTGGAACCTAATAGATGAGTATCTGCAATAAACATAGCTCTAACAGGTTTGTCTGCAGCTTCCATATGTACAGTTAAATCTTCCTTTCGAGAATCTAGAGCAGGCCATTCGCACTAACGCGTTTATTTGTAATTTTTACGCTCAACAAGAATAGAGAGCAATCTTTGTTATTGTATATAGTATAATAAAACTCACCTGGATGAGTACTATGTAATAAATGAGATACTCGCAAAAAATTAAAGTAAATATTACAACTGAACCAGCAGTGAGCAGTGTTTTGGGGAAAAATGTAAGACACATTCTCAACATTCTCTCGATATAATCAAGTGTATTTTGAAACAAAATGAAAATTATAAAATCCGATAGATTCTTATGAAGGCGGCCATGATTTTACAAGTTCCCTCCTCGCTTTGTAACGTGTAACATATATGCTTTAATATACATATACGTTCTGTAATTAGATTGTTCAAAAAGTACATGCGGTCTTTTAAATGAAATTTAAAGGCTTATTACATCGACTCACATAATTTAGCTTTTGTAAATGCTCATACGTGTGTTCGATATTTTTAATATCTGCGCAATGTCTCGTGTATGTAGATACATGAATAAAATGTACTAAAACTCTACACTTCACGTCACATGTGCTATAGATTTCGTGATACTGGTAGCGAATATCGGAACGCAGCTTTAAAAAAAAATATATCTAACCCATATCTATACAGATCTTAAGTAAATGTTATTGTGTTCGCAAAAATCGAACTATCGATAACAGGGCACGTTAATAACATGACAAAAAAACTAATTAAATAAGTTTCAGTAAACGCTAAGTAAAAAATATATTATAAGTAAACAAAAATAAAACCTTGTGTTTTAGAAAAAGTTAAAGAGAGAAGAGAAAATAGGGTTTACTTTTTATTCTGTTTTTTATACTAATAGTTTAATTGGTGGGAATCGTTAAATAAATCTAATTCATATTTTAATAAGATAATTTATAAACGCAAGATATTGGAATGTTTTGTCAAAAATTGAACTATCTGATAAAACAATAGAACAAGAGATACATTAACGTAATCAACAGATACATTGAGATCAAAGATAGGAATCATGAGCATAAAGCCATGTTTTGAATTCAAAAATCTCGATACTTGTTTCATTCATAAATTATCAAAACAAGGAAGGTAAGAATCATGTTTACCCGATGCATATAAATTTTCATTTAGAGAGAAAGAATTAATATAATATACCTGTATTTATATTTATATAAAAGCTATTTATAGAGGTGAGACATATATTGGAAAATTTGTAGTTCATGGAGAGCTGATTAATTCTGGTTGACAAACGGAAATTATATGATTTAAAAAAAGAGCAAAAAAATATTCTAGACTTATCAATTTCAAATAGTAGCATCAAATCACACTTGTCACCCAGTCACAGCTATCGTGGCAGAAACAGTTAATAAAATTGTTGGCATTTACACATTTTATGTGATATATAAATGTAAATAAATTCGAATTCATAAATCTCAAAATGTTTCGACTATATTTCAAGTTGTTTCCGGCTAAACATAAAACTTACATTAACAATATGTCTTAATTTCAAATAATAAAACAAAAATTCTTTGAATAACTTACAATATTATATATATCACGATAAAAACAGTTCCTAATATAACTATATGATAGCTATAATAAGTAAGTTATTGTAAACTTTGATGTGCATATGTTTCATAAAGCGATATATAAAGTTACAATCATGCGCGCGCGCACACACACACACATATATACTTGTATATACATAGTGTCGCGCAATCAGACAATATTTTAACAGTTTTACAGTCTTTTTTAACGCAGTAATGAACTTTATCAGGGTTTGTTTTATCTTGCAAAACACTATAAATATATAGTATATAAATATTAGATTGTAAGAGAACGATGTAATGGAGATGAATGTGTAACCTTTTGGAGAACAATAAATACATACATATAGTATATGAATATATACAGTACGGTCTAGCCGTGTACGAAATAGTTTTTAATATTCTTCTCGTTCATATCACGAAAGTAAAACTACTAACGATTCAGACATTCCACATTCATAGAAATTATTTTTTCTTGTCTTATCTACCTATAAATTTCCTCGTCACATATGTTGTATGTGACGACACTCATAATGCTACACCGATGTCTCGCTGTTATCTAGCGCCATTACGGTTAAAGTATTGGGTCTTGAGCCACTCAAAATTTGTTCCTCAGGCGGATGCATCCTCGGCTCAAGAATGTTTCTTTTTGTTTCCACAGTCTTCTTGATTGGCGTGCGACTAGGACTCGACTTTCTGCTATTTGGATAGGACTTCAATAAACGTGCTCTAAATAATTGCAAAATATTTTTTTCAAGATACACTGATCCATCACAAAATCTTAGAATTAAAATAGTAAACATAAATCATACATACGCATCCATCAATTTCAAATACAGCCGAGTGTATACTTGATATTCCTCATCGCCGAATTCGGTAGGATCATGTCTTGCATGTTCATACAAATCACAGAACTGGTGAATCAAACGCTGACCACTTCCATTTAGTGGAGTGGCAAGTGTAGTAAGTAGATATGCTCTTAGATTTTCTGAAGGATGTCTCTTCAGACAATTATCATACTTAGTAATTTCTGCTTCTGTAAGTGACATGTAAAGCAATGAGAACTTTAAATTTAACAAGATGCAAAAGGTAAACTCACCTAAGGTCTTGACATCATCGACCGCTTTCAGTCTGTAATAATGTGGTGGAGCTTGACCTCCTGGAGTCAAGATGTACCTAGAATCACTGATGAGTTGTGGTTCATATTGAATTCTAGGTATCACCTCTATTCTTCTTTCTATTTCCTTTTTCAGTGACTGAAAAACGCGTTTACAATAACAAGCAATGTGATTAAACGATAACGCAGTGACTGTGAGTTAACCTTAAATATGTCTCCGCCGTTGGACCCACCTTTTTCGCATCATGACCTATGGGAACGTGCGGGCCTCGACGAGATCTCAAGGCGAACCTCATGATCTGACGTTTTGCAAAAATAAACAGTAACAATATTGTTAGAACACCCGCTGCTATAAATATTACTATAGTTACACTCGACAGTTCTTCCGTCATCTTTGTACAATACGAACTTCTATTGCTGTCAACAATTGTGTCAACAGATATTAATTTTTACGAGAGACTTGTATTATCATCTTTTATCGCAACAATACAACTCGAGCTTTCAAATAAAACTCTACTCGATGTACAGAGTCATGTTTTGTGCCCACGTTATGAATGCAGATGAGCGAGAGTCGAGTGCGAGAGAGAGAGAGAGAGAGAGAGAGAAAAAAAGGGGGTGAGAATTGTCAAAAATAACAATCTATTTTTTTCTCCAACTTTGTTTAAAAAAAATTCAAAAGCTCAAATAATTTGTTAATTAAAGTAAAATACTTAGACAATTGATTTTATCTTTTTTGTACAATTAGCGATAAAATTAATGTTTTGTTGTGAAACACATAATTTTAAGATTACATATTACTTAAAATGTTTTCTATGAGCTTTTTGAAAAACGTTTCATTGACGGCAGCAACTTCCGCTATTCGATTTTTCTGTTCTTCAGATAACGTTGTGTTACTTTTTAAAAATGATAAAATGAGTTTTCCAAAATTCTTATTTTTAGAGTAACAAACCGCCTTTTCTAAGAATAGTTTTGTTACTTTATCAATCATGTTACTATCGAATCTTACTGATAGGAAATTTTGCAATATAGGTATGTGCCATAATTTTAATTCTTCAACATATGTGAGAAACTTCCTACAAAGAGAACACAAAACATTTATTATCAAATCTTCTTTTATGTTAGTTTTAAAATTAAACAAATGACTGAAGAATAATTATATAACTGAAAAAAGCGTACTCTATAAGAACTGGTTTCCTCTGTGAATCAAAAGCATTTATGATGATAGTAATCAATGTTGTGTCTTTCAACTCAGTATTGAGAATAGGAATATATATGAACCGTTGAATCTCATCAGGAAATTTTCTAATGCATTCTCTAATTGCGGATGACAACAAACGGGATGGTTCTTTGAGTTGAACTATCTGTAGTCATAATATATGGGGAATAACCAGCATGTTACGAAAAGATTGACTAATAATTGCAATCAGTTAATAAGCAAGTACCTTTGGTAGCAGCAAATGTGTGCACAACGTATTCAGATATTTCATTTCCTGCTGGACAGTCATGTCGTTCATCATGGACTGACACAGATTGTAAATGCCTTTAAGACTTAATTTTTTTGTCAGTTCATCCACCAGTAAAACAAAATCGTCACTGGACAGATTTTCTAATTGTGCGAAATTCATTCGGCCATTATTTCGCTCTAAATTCTCACAAACAGACTCTAAAATGTCACACTTTTGCATAACTGTGTCAACAGGTCTTTTAGGTTTTTCAATTATTCTTTCAACTTGTGTGAAGTAAAACTGAGTAGACGGCATTAATTGGTCGAACATCAATTGAGACTCGCTATTGTTCGACTTATCATCTTCATCGTTGTCTTCGTCTTCTGAACACATTTCTTCCTTGTTCTAAATTATAGATCGTTTTATTTATATATTTTTTCTGATAATATTATTATAAGATGTTTGTACTCCCGGTAAAAAATTTTCCATGTATAAAATTGCATGGACATATTCGGCACACACACACATATAAATTTGAATAATTAGATATAATAATTTTAATTGTATAAGTATGTGTATAAGTATATATGATTATATATCAAAAATTTTTTTAAAAAGTATAGTTAGTTTTAAAAGTATAGTAAAAATATAGTTTTATATAATTATTTTGTATCTAACATGATACTAATAGAGTTATTTTGTCATTTGATATGGAATATCTCTGAAGCCATTCTCTTAAAAAAAGAAATTCTTCGTGTGTAAAATTGTATAGACATATTCGGCATATAAATTTGCATACTTAGATATAATTATTTTAATTTATGTATAAGTATATATGAAAATTTTTTTACCGGACTTTATTTAGTGTAAAAAAGACTTGTTAATTTTATTGCATTAGATTAAATATACTTCACAAACAGGAAATGCACAAATCAAAATCAATTGTAAATAACGAGCGCAATATATCGAAAACGCATGCGGTTCTAACCTCTCCCGCTAACAGTTTCCACATCGGATTAGCCCGAATAATGTTATCTTTCAGCGCTTCTCTGATAGACTCGAGTCTCGCCACGGTTTTCTCCGATATTGCGTACTCTTGGAAAAAGACTTCGGAATCCATATTTTCCCGCAATTTCAGTTTGTTTACGTTCCTTTGCGCATGTTTCGTTCGACACTACTAGGAGCAAGTTGGAGCAAGTGTGGTATACGACAATGAATCAGTTTCGAAAGAGGATTTTCCTTTTACTCCAGCCACAGCGGTCGATTGATAACGATTAATCATAGCAGCTGAAAAAAAGTACAACACAATAAAAAAGATGTTCATTTTGCAATAAGTCTAACGTTTTCGTTTAATTAAAAAAAAAAAAACCACTATTACGACGCATGCAAATCGAAAACACATTGCTGGTGGTTTCCGCAAGTTCTTGTCATCAAAAAGTTACAGTTGCATTGTTAACATTCTACCATTGCGTGTGCAGATAAAACTTACCACAAAACACAACTTAATCGCTACATTCGCACAAAAAAACGAGCAAATCTTATGGCTAGTCTACAATAGGAGTAGGCAGTATAGAGTATAAGTAAGGTTCTTGGAGTTCTTTTATTTTTGTCTATACAAGTAATTATTTCGCGTTTTTTAACACACGTCTTTCATTGGCTAACAGTAAGGCAATAGGCAATGCGAAATGGGAATTGTCCATTTTGTTATTCTCTCTCCCGTCGTTTCTTCACCGAAAAATAGTTTACTCTCTACTCCTACAGCCTTATGCTGGGAATAGACTATGCGCGCATTCGCGATTCGTGATTCGCGATTATACAAACACACTTTTTGCGTGTATTCGCGTGACTACTACGTAGCTACGTAGCGCATCGCTACGAATCGCGAATCACGAATCGCGAATGCGCGCATAGTCTATTCCCAGCATTACTATCTTCCATTGTAGACTAGCCATAACAGATCGGTCTAAAAGCTAGTCTACAATGAAGGTAGTGAGGCTGTAGTAGAGAGTAAACTATTTTTCGGTGAAGAAACGAGGGGAATAACGAAATGGGCAATTCCCATTTTGCACTGCCTTACTGTTAGCCAATAAAAGACGCGTGTTAAAAAACGCGAAATAATTACTTGTATAGACAAAGACTGCTTTACTTTTAGGAGACACAGTCGACACAAAAGTCATTCTGTCTTCGTTAAGTATTCAGTGAGAAACAAAGACAGAATGACTCTTGTGTCGACTTATGTTGACTGTGTCTCCTAAAAGGAAAGCAGCCAAAAATGAAATAACTCCAAGAACCTTACTTCTTACTCTAGACTACCTACTCCCATTGTAGACGGCCCTTTACGATTCGTACAAAGAGGAACGTGCACTTCCCTATATTTCTCAGTCGGTCATGCGAATCATGCGATGCACACGGAGCCGATCGTATCGCGTTAAGTTAGTCCAATCCAAGTCCAAGTCAGTCTGTCGGTAGTGATCGACGGATATGTGTTGCGTGGTGTATCGCACCGAGACGCGTAATCGACAGACAGCAGTGGCAGTTGAAGAGATTCCGAGCGATTTCACGATTGAATTCGCGATAAACATCGATATGCGAGATCAGTCTATCTTGCTTGGCGATAAAGTGAGCACAATTACCAAATTATCGTCATTATCGGTAAGTGAAAATTAAAAAATGAAACCTGTGCGTTTGTTGAAAAAAATAATTCTTAAAATATTTCAAAAATTTATAAAAAAGAAAGTCCATGTTTTTGAAAACTTCAAAATGAAATTTAAGATGTTCTTCTCGCGGATATCTGATTGTTTACATTAGTATACAAAGTTGGTCATAAATGTATGTAATTTAAGGTGTAATGACATGTTTATGTCTCTTGACTTAATTAACGGATAATGGGTTGGAAACCTATTGGCAAATTGTTCCGTTGATAAAATTCTCTTACACGGTTCTTATATTCTGTGTCCTTCGACACATTTTCGCAACAGGAATTTTCAGCGCGCATAGTAAACTCCGTATTGCATCAAGATAAACAATAATCTGAATTCCCGCATGAAAACTACTGTCTCTTTGATTCTCGGTATTACGTGTTTAATAATACAGTCGTGCGTGATTGCTTCACGTCTATCGCTGCAACCGCGATAATGAGTGATAAAAGTTTCACGTTTGACGATCAGATGCATCACAGATTTAATGACCGTCTTATTCGTGTGATTTTTAACAATATATGATAATGACATAAGTCATATTCCGAATACGTAACCTAGGATAACATATTACTGGTTAAAAAACCTGCACTTACACAAGTGTTACGTGTATCACTGTGAGAAGAAGTGTATATTATTATGTGCATAGATTTTTGTGAATTTGCACGCAAACATGTTATAAAAAATTCATATTATCTATTGTGTTATGTTACCAAAGAGTAAAAAATCGCAAACTCACTTCCTATTTAAAATTAAATTTTAAAATTAGAAGAACAATGACATCGGCCTTCAATTCGACCGTTCTTCCTTGAAGAATCATCGAGCTTCTTTGAAGTTCTTTCTCGTTGCGGATTTTTATAGACATCAGAGTTTTGATTTACATTCATATCACGTAATTTTAATGTTAATTATAAATATGATTCTATATGATTCACGTGGCGTGTCTATACGCGCTTTACACTTCAAAATAACTTCAATACGTTACGATTCATGATAATTGTACATATCTACATCAGATAGTTAATTTCTTCCACATCAGTCTGCTAATTTGTTAAAATTCACTGTTCATTAATAAACTTATTTTAAAATGAACTTACGAACAGAGATATGACAATAATGTTAGTTACAAATAGAGAAACACTGTGTTGAAACAATAGATAAGTACTAATGTTTATAAACAGTTTACTTACAAGTGAACATTTAACACTGAATTACGCGAGGAAAAACTTATTTGTTATTTTTTATACTAGAAATGTCAAAGTTTGACTGACATCGAAGAGCCACTGACATTAAAATCAAACGGATAACTTTCCTTTTTTTTTTTTTTTTTTTCATTAGTATTTTATTCCACAGTGAGAGAGAGAGAGAGAAAGAGAGAGAAAAAGAAAGAGAGAGAGAGAGACACTTTGTCAAAATAGCATTAATGCCGTTTTTGTACTTGAGATACTGAAATCAAGAGCCATGTGTCATTTGACCGTGCACTAGTCATTTTTATTTACAAGCACAAAACGATATTGATTTCAAATTTGAATTACTGATAAAATTTGTAGAGAAAAAATTGTGGGATCGTGTTTGATTTTGATTAGACAATCCCATTTTCTTCAACTCTTTTTTGTTTTTCATGTACGTTACATTATAGGAAGTAACAAAAAATTTAGAAGTGATTAACCGGATAATTTGAAAGTAATCATGGAAAAAAATCACGTCTTCAACAATTTCTTTAAAAATCTTTTATTGTTTATTTCTTCTGACTGTTTTTTTTTTCACATGATAGATCTCAGATTGGATTGAAAAATGCGACATTTTATCTACATTTATCCTTTTTCTTTTTTTTTGTACGTTAAAGTATCCATGTTAAAAAGAAATTTAATTTTAGCATAATAGTTGAAATTTATTTAATGCACGTAACGTGATAGGTTATTGAAACCAGATAAGTAGCACATCTGTCGCGTATTCGTCAGACTATATGGAGTTAGCCGCAGGCCGGAAATGTTTTTTAAGTCTAATCAATCACTCCTGGTTAATTTTTGCGTTTATCATACCGACTGTATCTTCTATAAAAATTTCCCATAAAAAAGAACTTAACTGCTATGACAAGATACTCTTTTGCCTACTATTCTTTGTATCTGTCTACCATTTGCTATCACATTCATTAGCATCGTCACACGGGAACTGGTATTACCGCTGGAAAACCCAGATGGCGAGGTCGTTCTGCACGCACACACGTATACATCTCTCGTCGGAGCGATGCGCACGTTTTGTGTTGTCACTGAACCATACAAAATACATTAACAAGTCACTGATGACGCGATAAAGTTTCCGATCCACGTAAAAAGACTCGAAGAAAAAATATTTATTTCCAGATCGTCTATAAGAATAAATATAAGAAACGGAATTGAATTAATTATTCTGAGGATCTCTCTTGAATGCGTAATTCGTACTTTATTATATCTAATTATTTTTTATTAGCGTCCTACAAAACATTAAACAGTAAAATACAAAAATGCTGAATGCAGGAGTTAATGTAGGTAGCTACTATTTTTACGCGTAACGAACAACTAATTTTTGTGAACATCCGTGATTACGACTAATGTGGAGCTATATATACAGGGTGTCCCAGAATTGCCGTACAATCTCTCGTAGGCAGGTAGAAGGAGTAAAACTGAGTCGAAAAGTCCTAAACCATTTTTTTCTATTATTTATAATAAAGAAGTAATTATTGAGTAAATCAGGCCAATCAGCGCAGACCTTTAGCCAGACGCACGTCAGTGAGCCGCGCGCCTCGTGTGTGTGAGCGCTCACTGACGTGCGTATGGCTAAAGGTCTGCGCTGATTGGCCTGATTTACCCAATAATTACTCCTTTATTATAAATAATAGAAAAAAATGGTTCAGGACTTTTCGACTCAGTTTTACTCCTTCTACCTGCCTACGAGAGATTGTACGGCAATTCTGGGACACCCTGTATATATATATATTAAAAAAAAACAAAGAGTTATAAAAAAATATTGCACCTTGAATATATCATGTGAAATCTGTTGTGTGATAGGAAGATTTAACTAAAGTTTACGGAAAAATTTTTGCTATAGTAGATAAGAAGATACCAGAGGTTGTTCATAAACCGACGCAAACACAAATTTACAATCGTAGGCAAAAATTGACAAGGGAGAAATAATCTTATTTGTTAATTTGTTAGAAATAATCTTATCAAAAAGTGTATACACTTTTTGTCGCAGAGAAAAAAGTTGTGTAATATTTCGCATAATTAAGTTTAATTGCTTGTGTTATCGGTTTGTGAATATTGCGTATCGCGAATCCAACATGTGTTCGTCCATATTATTTCGCTACTGATATAACGATACCGAATTAAAAAATGTTATGCATGATGAAACGTGACTCTTACACGCAAGTACACATATAAATTCTGAATTTCTTTGGTTTTTCTCGCTTATTGCAAGATTAAAAGAAAAAAACAGAAACAAATTCCCTGCAATAGGAAAAAGTGCAACAAATTGTAAGAGCAGCAGCTGTTCTTTGGTTGATTGACTACTACAATAAGTGATTCGTATATAGGTCATTACACTTGTTAATTATATTTTACAAACTGTGAGATAATGCATTCTTCTACGAGATTCCGTAAATCTTCCATGTCGCGATGGAGATTTTTCTCGACCGAGATAAGTTTTTCTTCTTATCGCTTAGCAATTAGGTATATACTGTATACTGTATGTTCGTAGGTATATACTTGTATACTGTATAATATACAATGTACCGTACGATGTACTTTCTTGTTTATTATAGCGTAAAACTTGTCAAATTTTTATGCATCTAGAGATAAACTGTATAACATATAAAGGTCACGGCTTTATCTATACAGACAGATATTGCGTTGTAACACAGAAGTAAATGATAACGATATAAATACCTATAAATCAAGCATGTAATTCAAATGTGCAATCAAGAATGTCCGCATTTCTATTATATTGTGTAAAACAATAATATTTAAAAAAGCACTATACTATTAAAACTTATAAATGAATTAAAGAAATTAAAACAAAGAAATTTATTATATAGAATCTATTTATCAAAGCCGGAGCAGTTTATCGAAATATCCGGAGCCAGTAAAACGAGACAATAAAAAACACACACACACACGTGCATGCACTTTCATATATCCGCGACACGCGCAGTTAAAAATATATTGTCGTCTTCGATATACAGACATCTACGTGTTATCGGTGCAAATAATATGATTCCGGGAAACGGTTAGTTTGCACGATATGACGTTGTAACGAAGTTGGATTTTATGTTTCACTCGTTAAAGGTAATATTCGAGGCATCACTTACTTTGCCAGCTCTCAAAGATTAGAAATGTATTTAAAAATAAAGTAATTTTTCTCCAGAAAAAATTTTATATATTGAAAAACCAATATTCGTTTTCTCTTATGTTTTTTTTGGGGAGGGGGGAATCAGTTAACTTGTGTAAAAATGGAGAAAAGTAACGATTTTCACACTAAATATTGATACAACATCGCGAAAGTCAAGCTGAGACCAGAGTTTCGGAGACAAAAATATGTATGTAATAAGAAAAAAATTGTCATTCAGATCATATCACCATTCTTTTATCATGATCTGAAGTGCGAACATCGGCCTTTCCAGTGAATGTTTCGGTCACAAGAGAAATCGCGTCAGATGACTAAATAAAGAGTATAATAATTACGGTTATATAATATTATAAGATAAGCGAGATACGCAAAGCACAGACATTTCCGACATCGCAAAGGAATTTCGAATCGCGAGATTCGTATTTTACGGTAGAATTTAAGAAAACGTACATATGAGTATGCAAGCGCGCGAAAATACATGTAACATGTGTATATTAACGTTGAGATATTATTCCCCAGGCAGAACGAACATTTAAGAAAATGTCAATCCTTTCTCAGCTTTCCCGCCGGATGCAAAAGACGTTGACAACAAATGCAAAACCGGATTTGAACAAAATTGAGGACAATCCAGTGTCGAATGAAGAATTAAGCGAAACGCAGTCGAAATCGGCACCGTCCACACTGGAAAAAGAACCGGAAGACGTCGATGTGTCGAGACGGCAACAGAAATCGGTACGAGAATTGTGAAATTCTTTTTTTTACGCTGAGTGTAATATAAGAGTGTAATAAATCATAAATGCGCGTTTCTGAGAAAAATACTATGCTTGATTATATCGCTACATCCAGTTAGTGAGACAATGAGAGAAATGTGTTTGACGTGAGTTTGGTTTGACGTTAGTCACAACCTTGTCTCGTGTATGGCACGTGCAAAATTATCATAAAGTCTAAAAGAGATCTATAAATATTGAATGTGTCGCAAAAAACTCACACTTCGTTTCCAAATAAAACAAATATGAAAAGATTGCAACAAAAACCAAATTTTCTTTCTTAGGTACAACCGACATTAAAGAAAATGCCGATCTTTTCGCAACTGTCGCGCCGATTTTACGATATGTTGACAACGGACGCGAAAGCAGATCCGCCACGGATTGGCGTCGAAGGCTACACGCACAATTTGCCACCAACGAGGCACGAGAAGTTGAGGGAAACGCAGTCAGAGTCAACGCCTGCGACGACCCCGGAAAAAGAACACGTCACGGCGTCGATGCATCGCCAAAAATCGGTGCCGAACGACGCGAGACCCACGACACCCACCGATTTCGGCAAAACTAAACAGGAGGATCTCCGTTTTTCGAGATCAACGAGCGAATCGGAGCACAAACGACCAAAGGCGAAGACGAAAACGAAGCATGGTAAATATTGTAAGTGGAAATTGAAGTTTTAGTTTTGACGATTTTGTGTTTTTATCTAAAGGAATACACAAGAAATAATAAAAATTTGCGCGTAACTTAGATTTCGGCGCTTAATTGAGGCAAATATAAACGATTTCGCGAGCGGATACATATTATCTCGAAGACTCATCTCTGAAGCAATTTTATTTGAATTTATGTCATAAAATTTTTTATCTTTCTGATCGTCATGATGTATTATAGATAAATAATAATATAGAAAATGTGATATAGAAAACACACCACTCAAAATTTATGCCTTTACGAATTATTCATCGCGAATGGAGTATGTTTGTGCAACCAATACCAGGTGTGTGTGTGTGTGTGTGTGCATGTGTGTGTTTGTTTGTTAGAGTGAGTGATAATTACATAATAAATAATAGAAACACACATAATGTCAGAGATAAGCTCGTTATCTAGGCGCCCTAGTTAGCGCGGTAACTATTAGTAGTAGACGTAAATCTTTACAATTGTGTTCAATGAATATAGTTGAAGTGTATTTCAAGACAATGAATATAAATCGCAAATATTTGTAATTAAACGCAAACAGAATAAAAGAAATTATGAGGAAGCATTATGATAATGTTTTTACTTTCTTCTTTAATACTTTTTTATTTAAAGTTTTTCTTGATTCTCTCTGAAATCTATTTTCAGCGCAAGGCACGAGCGTCGTGAGCTACAACATAGTCAATTCCAACGGAGTAAACATCGGATCACGAACGAGCTATATATGTAATGTAAATCAGTATCCGACGACGCAGTCCGAAGCGGCATCTTGGTCGAAGCCCAAGTACCGGCCAATGCCGGAAAGTGTGGAGGAGTTGAGCACATGCGACGACGAACTTGCGTTCAACGATATGCTTATTATCAAAACGCACGTCGGTCACGGATGGCGGGACGTCGCGCGGAGATTGTCATACTCGGACGGTCAGATCGAGCAGTTTGAGGAGAATTACAGGCATAAAGGCATCGACGAGGTATATAAATAAATTCTGAGAAAATTCAGTCGTAAATAATGTAGCAGAAAGTTTTGCAACTATCAATTTTGATATTATATTATTTAAAATTTGGATTTATTGCTGTTATATAAAATAAAAAAATACTAAACATAAGTTTTATTACATAGAAACCTATTTACGAAGAATTGTCTAAATATTTCAATTAAAAAAAAAATAATAATTAAGATGCATGTAATATAATAATTTCAGGTGATCTATCAACTATTACTCGATTGGAAGCAGGCTAATACGCGAGACGCTAAACTTGGCATATTAGTCAGCATATTGTGGTCTTGTCAAGAGTACGATTGCGTCGAGCGATTAGCCGCGACTCGCTCCTCGTCTTACAATTAGTCAGCATGACACGTGCGAACTCTTCTCAAGAGTACGTGTGCAAACAATTGTGTGTGACTTCTTTTCTATTTACTCTCAAAAGTGTCATTCCATATTTTACTTTTATATACATATATATGTATATACACATCGGTCTATCGCACCGTAGCACATAAGTTTTTTTAGATATGCAATCTCAATTACGAAGGTCATTCACATCCTCGTGTTGTGTCGAATCGACGGAAGAGACATTATTGACCGTACTGATTTGCATAGGAGGCGTATTGTATACGAAATTACAATTACGGAATTTTATTTAGTGTTTATGCGAGAGCCGGGAAACATGATCTGGTCAATATTTGGAGCCAATAGTATCAACATTATTTTATGCAATATACATGTTTAACATGGACATATATGTATGTTTTTTATTTGTAACTCATACTCATAAAAATCAGAGAGAAATAAAACTGCAATTTTCCAAAATTCAATGTTTACTTAATTTTCTAATGTTTTTTATTTCTAATAGCAAAAAAAGTGTATACAATACACGCATATTCGAAAATTCTTAGCATCGTATCAAAACTGACATTACTTAAATTATTTCTAGTATATTACATTTTGTTCTTTTTATTCTTATATACTACATACATATTTTTCTCAATTATTTTTTAAAGTTTTTCTTACATATAAATATTTTTTATATAGAAATTTTTTTATGTATAAATCAATCAAAAACTATATAGTTCAATGCTTTAATATATTTTTACATATTTTTCTAATTAAAATGTAAACAATAATCAATAAGTATGTTTATACATATATGATTTTGTACTTATTTATTATGTAAAAACCTAAATTTGATTACATTTAATATTCCAATAAAATAATATAAATACAAACTGAGGTAAACTAATATAAGCACATGTATGTACATCGCAATAATTTAAACTTTTTAACAAAGTAATAATTCAATCGGTAATAACTCGACGATTACAAATATTAAATAAATTTTAAAATTTTGAAAATGTTTCAAACATCAATGACAGATGCAAAGTCATCTGTCACAATATTGTGTATCAAACATATTTTCGGAACCAAATTTGAAATGTACGCAACAAAGATAAATGTGATCAACAAAATTAATGTATCACATCAAGTTTAATCATATTTTACATACTCGTTAATGTTTCTTATTATTTTTATATTTTAATCGAAGATTCCCGCTTTAATTTTGGGTAATAAACAATTTGTCGATACTGTAATCATTGTGTTATTCACATCGCTGTCATCTATCACTTTACTGAAAATTTTATCTTTACATTTTTCAAACTCTTCCACCATTTCATGAAGTTCTCGATCGCCATTTATGGTTATAATCGGAGCCGGTACCGGTTTTAGAATTCGATGATAGAGCCAATCATCGTGAACCTGATGAATCTGCTTCAAATATTCCAGTGAAATGGCATTTTCTTCCTTGCGGCCTCGTTGTTTCATTCTTTTGTATACAATTTCAGGTGTTGTTCTTAGATATACTATTTAATGATGAAACAAAAAAATTACAAACATCTCCTAGTAGCAGTATAGTTCTATAGTGATTTTGTTATTTACATTTTAAATATTGTAATTTACTCAGTTATTGTTGATTGAAGAAGAAGCACAAATGTAATAATACAGAAATGTTTCCAAAATACATGAAATTATACATACCTATTAAATTAGTTTCAATTTTGGCATTTTTCAAACACCAATTGTACCACCCATCTAAAATGCTAACTTCAGCTGTACTCAGTATGTTATTGCGCTTCATATTTTCAATGAAACACATTGCACTATAGACAGACCTTTCCATAATTTTAAAAGGCAAAGGTGTTTTGCAAGTGTGCAACTGGAGCATAGTTAGTTGTACATAAGATTGAAACAAATAAGCATAACGGGATGGATCACTGTACATTAATTCCTAAAATGTAACATTATCTAGTATTCACCATTGTTATTATCAAACATATTAATATGAAGATTTTCCCTTACCAGTAAATTTTCACCAGCAACATCACGCCAGAGTTCTACTGGTTCTTCCAATACACTGACATTGTCAAACTTCTTAAAGTGACTTAGAAATGTTGTTTTTCCACTTCCTATGTTGCCTTCAACACACACAGTGAAGGGACGCTTATATAACTTGATGCCAGACATATTTATAAATGCTTCCAAAGTTGCTTTGCCTAATCAAACAACAAATAATAAAAAGGATTTACTTGACTTAAATGAATTGAGTCCTTATTTATTGTATTTTCTCTCATGATATTAAGGATCTAAAGTTATCATATTTCAATAAAATTATTTAGGAAATGAAAACACAGGAAAAGAACAGAGAACAAAAACAAAAAAAAAAACAAGAGAACATTTATTGTTCAGAGAGTATCTTCAAAATATGTAATTACAAGGAAACTTACATACACACGACATTTGATATTTACTTACTTTTAATGTAAATTAACTTACTTGTAATGTAAGAAAACTTTTTATGTAAATCAATCTGATTTCACAAAAACGTGATAAAGAATACAACGAAAGTTACTCGTTCGACCACAGCCAAACAAAAGTATAAATTTCGAAAATCGCTAATATTTAATTGTCACAGAAAGTAAGCGACAACGTGTAACAAACTCGACAATCAATCAACGGATTCGGAAACGGACGATAAGCTAAAGACCCATTTATCTGTAAAACGCAAACGCAAATCTCGCAAAATCGGCGAAATTGACTAATTACGGTGATCGCTTGACTGATTTTACCCTAGATCAACCTCAACACTGCCGCGCAACTTTCCCGCCAAAACAAAATCCACGCGCCATCTCTTACTTTTTCCTAGTACACGTATAGTACACGTCACGTATAGTACACGTCACGTATAGTATAGATAAATGCGCGCAATGAGTGAAACGGAACGCAGCTCTAGGCTTGTTGATACACACATACGTATACAAATAGATTGCGTTCCATTATATTCACTGTCAGTATTAAAAACTTATAGTTCACGTAACATATACGTATTAGTATAGATTTCTCTAGTACTGGCAGTGAATTTCGGAACGCAGCCCTTGTTACATATATCATTTGATACCGACATCCACGCGCATTTTCTTGTGTGATGTCGACTATAGTAATCTCGATTATAATCATCAAAAAATCATGGCGCACACAGCGGTAAAATGAAAATTTTCGCAATTAAAATAATTAATTTACATACTTTTGCGAACGATTCGCAACGACAACAATCCGCGTCGTTATTAAAGGCTGCGGTCCGTTTAATGCTTAAGCGCACATTTATCTACAGTATACGTGACATATACTACAGATAAATGCGCGATCAAGCATGAAACGGACCGCAGCCAAAGTTACGTCCGAAATTCACTGCAATAAAAATCTATATTTCACGTCACATAAGCTATAGCTATAGGTTTCCATTACCGAATAAATATCGGAACGCGGCCTAATATGCTACACTGCCTGCGTGCCGCGGCAACGCGATATAAATTATTGTGACACTTGCACTCACCTGTGGAAGCCATCGTTGCAGGTTGCGAATAAATGCGAGGAATTCGAGATATTGCAGGAAAGCCGGCGAAATTTTCGGCAAAGTCTGTTATCTGCACATTTCTTCTGATACAACCGAGTTCTGAGCATGCACTCAGCGCGTTGACAAATAAACGTGATAACATTTTAGTTGATATTTATATTTCACGCAAGTTTCGAATAGTATCGATCGATTTGCGAGTGTATACATTTATTTAACCGTAAGCAACCGACTGAAAAGAATTATCGTCAAAACAAAATTCACCGCCGAAGAAGAACATCATTGCACGCGACGCCACGGATATCGCAAACAGCTGATATTAAGCCTGTTCTACATTAAGCGCAAGACGCAAACGCAAGTCGCAGATCTCGTGGAATTGACTAATCGCACTGATAAAATTGACAGCCAATTGACAATGACGTGATTGGTCAATTCTACGAGATCTGCTACTTGCGTTTGCACTTAATGTAGAACGGATTTTACACGCACAACTGAGCTCGTAAATTTATCGTACACTAACACCCTCTTTGCGACGAAAATAAGAAGCAGCTAACCAGCAAGCTCAAATGATAATAAGAGAAGGCTGCGTTCCGATATTCATTGCCAGTACTAAAAATCTATACTTCACGTTACATGTGCTATAGATTTTCGGTAGTGGCAGTAAATATCGGAACGCAGCCGAAAATTATTATCGCAGTAATGCATCCGTATATTATATATGCATTTGTAGAGGCAATGTTATGTTTCTTAAATTTTTAAAATTATAAAATAAATAACACAAGGAATTAAAATTTATTTTTTCTTTTGACGACACATATTACATTACGTACTAATAAATTTAAAGAAACTAAATTCTAATATGCGTAATACGAGTTATTTTTGTGAGAAAATAAATTTTTCATATAAAAAAATTAAGTCTACATAACGTCGTTAAAAATATTTTGAAATTATAAATATCTGTAGTTATAATATTGTCATTAGTTTCTCTTGACGATTTTAACAAGACCGTCCTTTGTTCGCGCATTTCGATGATCTCACACGCGCCTTCACATATGTCGACTATAATTTCCGTCAAAGTTGTCACATAGATGAAAAGTAGTACAAACGCGGCTCATTTTTTTAGATTTTTTATTTATAATACAGTGCGAAGCAGTCGTAGTTACAATTGGAAACGTACATCCGGGATCGGGAAGAGATATTTGAGATGGGATACGCACGACTCTCTTTAGCCGCTAGATAAAGAGCTTCTTGGCTTTAAAAATGGCCGACACGTGAAATATAAATATCAACTAGAATGACGTTTATTAGCGTCTTCTGCTTTATCAATGAATAAAGTCTATCAATATGCTTGTGATATTAGAATCAATTATAATAATAGATTAGATCATTTGTCAAAAACAAATGAAAAGTTACAATAACGATACAAAAAGCTAGTAAAACAAAAAAAAGTTTAAAATGTTTCAGTAAACAAAGAGGATAATGATCTTTTAATACAGGACGTATCACGGACGCACTCTATTGCGTAACGAATATAAATAATTTCGATTGGAAATAAATACGATGAGAAATTAGTCCAAATGCAAAGCTCGTCTCAAGTCGCCAAAGATGCGTGCCTGGAGATATTTGAATTTTCGTCGAGTTCTGAACGATTCTGTACGGTCTGCGACGTGTACTGCGTAAACTGTCGGATGTCTATTTTGAAACTCGGAGAGTATATATATAAGCTTACCTTTACTGGCGCGCGAAGTGCAGCCTTTGCGTAAATGGAATTGCTGCGATCTCAACGTCGCATAACGTAGTATATTATTTGTTCATAAAAATTTTGTAAAAACGTTCCAATAAATTACATATTTACGTGCATTGATTTACGTGCAATCACACAGGAATAAAGCCAAGGTAATTTTGTTAAGAATATTTTTAGGTTTTCAAGTTTTTAACATTTTTAACAGTTCTTCTTTTCTTTTTAATGTTTAATTTATTTATTTCCATCAGTTTTATAAACTTCATTACATTGTATTATTATTATTATTTTTTTTAAATTACACAAATGTCTCATTTTCTGCGGATGTAAAACATCAGGACGACATATCGACAGTATCGACACTAGTTGTTAATTGACATATTGTCAAAGACGCGTTAGATACATAGCTGCCGCAGAATTTTCTGCGCGCTACAAATTGCGACTTGTGCATCTTCTCTCCTTGAAGCTGACGCGGGATTATTCATCGCGTGCAACGGCCTTTACATTCATACGAAAACGTGCCGAACGGTCAGCTAAAGAAGGGTTCTTGGGATAATCTCGGAAAAGCGGGATAAATAACCAGACGGCCGGCAGACTGATCCGTTTACTCGTTTATATTTGGATGACGATGTCCTCGCGCAAATTGTATCAGTATGTCATTCCGCGTCGCAATTTTATGCAATTTCACTGACGTTGTGCTGGTTGTTAGTCGCGGTCCAAGTCGAACTTGGAAAATAAAAATCCGAGTGACGCGAATATATCCGACGACTTGGTTTCTTTGTTGCATCGATAAAAAAAAAAAAAACAATTTCTCCCGATATATCACATTCCATATATCTTATATATTTTTTCTTCTCATCGAGAAAATTAGCAGAAAAAAATGTTTTTTAAAGAAATGATGAAATATTAAAACAGACATAGAAATAAATGAAAAATGTCATTTCCAATAAATTCTCTTTAAATTTATTTTGAATATTCAATATGCGAGCAATTTTGAAACAATTTATTGTCCTATAGTGCTCGTGATTTATTGTCAATAAGTTGAGCGGCACGTCTGGGAATCGCGTGGACATATACCCGCGTTAAAATGTTTTTTACTTCCTTTTTCTAACGCGCGAGAAATTCAGCGCCGGTCATGGCGAGAACTCCCGCGCGAGTTCTCCATGACAGTAGAACGGACAATGATCTGCGCCATGTGATACTATTTCGACTGATACTCACACCAGAATCTCATCGCGAAGAAAAACAAAACCACAAAGTCACAAGAAGGCAGAACGTAAAGTCGAGGAGGGACAACATCTCGCGAGTTGTTCCCGTGGGACGCACAAAAATGTTTTCCGTCTATCATGCGACACGTTATGGTGAAAAAGAACGTTTTCGGAAAACACTCTTTGGCGTGTGTAAAGTTAGCACCTCGATATAAAAATTTCTGTGTTAGATTTTAAAAAATACTTCAAAGAGAGTTTCTTATAGGTTTTTATGAAGCGAGAACATTTGAATTTGGTTGCAAATAATTTTCTAAGATTTAGAGATCGTTCGTCATTTGACTTTCTTCGCTTATTCGCGCGAGTGACCTTCAATTACGTGCGCGACGGTTACGAATTAAAAAATGCTCTCATTTGGCGGGTGAGAGAACAAACAATTCGGATCGGCCGCTTTTAATTCTCGGGAATCCACTTAAACTCGGCTGATTTTTCAACGCCGTCTAACGAAACTGCAGACTAATTGCCGAGCAAGCGCCGGCACCGGACACGCTCCTCGTTGCCGGCATCTCGGATTTCAAAAGAAAAAATTCTCCCCGCATTATCGGGAGACTCTTGTGCAGGTTTGCTCTAAAACACATGTCGATCTATGTATAGCCTTGCTACAACACGCACATTCTTAAATTCTCTTAACTTTGCAAGCGCGTGACAATGGCCGCAGTACAGAAATATTTCCGTAAGATTTCTAATATTAGAAAAAAATCAACCGAGTTGCAAAGAAATAGTTCATGCAAGATAGTGATAATCGGGATTTTTTACGATTTAGATCTAAAGATTTGAAAAAAAGATATCAAAATTAAACAAAAATAGTGAAAAAATATTTTAAATATAAATTCACGATAAAATCTTGTTTTGGTTGAATTTTTCTAATTATATAAAAGACACTGTCAAATATTATGAAATGTTAAAATAAATTGGTGCAAATCCAGGTGTCTTTTGGTGTGCTTTGATCCCTATTTTAAAATGGAAGCTTGACTTCAGATGCTTCATACTCGCTATCCGGTTCATGTTAAGCGACTTACGGGCGTTTGTCGTGTGTGCGTCGACGGAAATAACGTTACGGCTAAGCAAAACGCGGAAAGAAGAAGACGACGAACGCGAAGAGAGAAGCCGCTCATTTCATATGGAGAACTACGAAAATCTTCGTAGTTCAGAAGCGGACGAAGGAAAAGCGTGACGAAAGTGGGCTCTCTGGAGAACAAACGTGGAAACACGAAATTCCGAAACGGAACGAAGAGGAAAGAATGCGCTAAGAGTAAATTCAAAGGGCAGAACGGAGAGGCAGATGGACAAAATAGCGAGAACGAAAAGAAAAAAAGACCGGAGATGAAATAGAAGCTTTATATATATATACATAAAACACGAAGAACGCGAGAAACGGAGAAGACAAGAAACTCCTCTCGTTTTCTAACGGAACAGGTGCATGCCTCTATTTTGGCGATGCCGAGCGGCGAATATTTCGTCTAATCTTGTCCGAGAAATCGCGACATTTCACTGTAAGATTTTTTTTCTTTTCTCTAAAAAGGGAGATTGATGCAATTATTTTACTTAAATAGATTTGTTTAATTGTAAAAATGTTAAAAATGAGATAAGCAACAGATGATACAAACAAAAAAGGATAATCAAAATAATATATAAAACGCGAATGGTGCACGAATACATGCGGAATGTTTAACAAATCACTCAGATAAGAGGGATGTTTTACAGTTTGAATGTTTGGTGGGGAAGGGTAGTAGAAAAAGAGCCTGTAAAGTCGTGAATCATAGTACTCACGCGAAAATACCATAAAAATAATGTAGTATGCGTCACGATATGGCAGAAGTGACTCATCGCTCTTGCGAGGAGTATCCTCGTGTGTCGCTACTTGCATCGCGAAGAAGATTGCATCGATAAGTTGCTTGACGCGAGATTTCCATCTCCGGCGATGCTAGAAAGTGTCGTGAAAATAAAACGTACATGTTGCGCATGTACGAATAAAGAACGAGCGATGATATATGCGTCTTATTTCGCGTCAGAAAACACATCAGATAACATTCGGTAAACATCGTGACTGAAAAATTTCGCATGTTGCTCGTAAAACGAACTATATAAGAAGAATTTAGAATTACTAGTATCGCGAAAAGAGAGGAATCTCCAAACAAACAGGATCAACAAGTTGCGACGTAGCGCAAGGAATGATTGACTAATTAAAAGTAGTGTAAAAAAGTACAACAAAAAAACAAAAACAAATCAAGTGAGACTTCTACGAAGAAATTAAGGAAGATCGCTCAAACTTTACTGATAACAGTGTGTATGTCTTAGTAAACAAGATTCGCAGCAGAGTAAATAATTTAAACAAGAGTAATTAAAATTTAACGTCATCGTCAACGAGTCCGGGGATACCGATCTCGTTCTCTTCAGATTCGACATAAGTTAGGGGAGAAAAAAATAACGCGTCACACGTGATTAATTGATCATTCGTGATGTAGAGGAA